TTGTCAACCAAACATAATTCAACATTACTTCTGTTATACAGTAAATAGCCCAAAGTTAAGGCTATCTTACAAACTAATGTAACACTCAACCTTATTAAAATTAGTAACGCATCCATGGACACATTTTGAGGTTACTGTAACTATACATTTCATTTTATGTAATCATATAAAGCGTGCATGTTCAAGATAGCATGCATAGGTCACTGCAGGTCTGCGGAGAACCTTAAATGACATTGATCACTTGCACCATGTACTTTTAGTGTAATCTCAACTCCAATCTTGGTCATTTGGTTCTGCTGTTAGATGAAGCACAGTGATAACACATGCATCTGTTGTATAAATAAACAAAATACCTGACATTGTATTCCCATTTGAACTTTGCTGTCCTTTTAAGTGGTTGAAAGTGCAGTTAAATAGACATTTGGGTGACAACTAAACCAAAAATCAGACATTGTTTTCCCATTGGAAATAGGTTGTGATTTTAGATGGTTCAAAGTAAAGTGATAACACATTGGAAATTCAACTAACTTTTGGCTATCTTTTTGAGTGGGTGAATAAAGGTTGTAATCTCATTGATCAACGTCTCAACCAAATATTACCCAATTATCCACACTGAAGTGATGTGATGTGCCCAGTTGGCAGGATTCCGGGACGTTTCCCGCGTCTACGCCTGCAGCGTTTTGAGGCCCTTGGGGTCCAGTATGAACAAGGGAAGAGTTGAGTCGGAGTTAAAGTCAGATTTGAAGTCAAAATCAAAGTTAGTAACCTAACTGTCGATCTGATGTCCAGAAGTGTTTGGCGGTCATATGTGATAATAGTATAAACTTTAAAATAAAGCTAAACGTGAAAAAAGTAACTAAAAGCAAAGAAGGGTTGGAACTCGTAAGATGTCGCCCTTCTCCGTCGGTGCCATCTTTCAGAAGTATTCATTTTGACAGAACTATTTCATTTTGAATTTGTAAAAAGGCATCTGTTTTAGAATATTCTATTTCTTTGTAGTCCTGTTTAGCTGTTTACATCAAATAGTTCTATCACATCATGTGTAGGCCTAGTTGGCCTATATATATCCTACAGGTGGTTTTTGTAAGTGATATCCCCTTTAACAGCTGAGATAGTTGCACAGCAACTAGTTAAATTAATTCTGTAAGAGTGAAATTGACACTCAGTGGTGTAAAAGAACCCCCAGTGTTGGTGTTAATAACCAGAGTTATTGTTTTACACTGTGGAGAGTAAAACAGTCCCATCAAAACAACGCTCATATTTCCCAGCATGCTCTACTGCAGGTAGATGTTTTGGGATTGTTTTTAATATCTGTGTTTTTGCATGTACGTTGATTGATTGATTAATCCTATGCTACAGAAACATAAATAACATAAATTTTTCTAAACTAATCCAATCAGTTAGTTAGATTTATTGCACCCGTTACTGAAATGGATGTTCCGGTTTAAATGGTTTAGGTAGTGATTTTAAAAATCTAGTTTCCTAACCCTGACAGTCATTCTGAATGCAGGTTGCAGGTGAATAAAAACTCAAACTGTTGGATATCCTAACTCTTGCTGGATTCCAATAGGAATTACACATCACTTTGCAAGCCAGCATATTGTGATTTGCAGGCCTGATGTGGCCTGTAAACCAGGAGTTTCCTAACACCACTGTGTTAGGGTAGAACTAGGCCATCAACTAGGCCAATATGTAAGGCCTGCCCGTCGAACATCTAATTCTAAAGTCATGGGCATTAATATGGAGTTGGTCCCCCCTTTGCTGCTATAACAGCCCCCACTCTTCTGGGAAGGCTTTCCACTAGATGTTGGAACATTGCTGCGGGGATTTGCTTCCATTCAGCCACAAGGGCACTAATGTTGTGGCGATTATGCCTGGCTCACAGTCGGCGTTCCTATTCATCCAAAAGGTGTTTGATGTGGTTGAGGTCAGGGTTCTGTGCAGGCCAGTCAAGTTCTTCCACACCGATCTCGACAAACCATTTCTGTATGGACCTCACTTTGTGCACAGGGGCATTGTCATGCTGAAACAGGAAAGGGCCTTCCCCAAACTATTGCCACAAAGTTGGAAGCACAGAATTGTCTAGAATGTCATTGTATGGTGTAGCGTTAAGATTTCCCTTCACTGGAACTAAGGGGCCTAGCCCGAACTATGAAAAACAGCCGCAGACCATTATTCCTCCTCCACCAAACATTACAGTTGGCACTATGTATTGGGGCAGGTAGCGCTCTCCTGGCATCTGCCAAACCCAGATTTGTCCGTCAGACTGCCAGATGGTGAAGCGTGATTCATCACACCAGAGTCCAATGGTGGCGAGCTTTACACGACTCCATCCGACGCTTGGCATTGCGCAAGGTGACCTTAGGCTTGTGTGCGGCTGCTCGGCCATGGAAACCCATTTCATGAAGCTCCCAATGAACAGTTCTTGTGCTGACTTTGCTTCCAGAGGCAGTTTGGAACTCAGTAGTGAGTGTTGCAACTGAGGACAGATTATTTTAACGCGCTAAGCGCTTCAGCACTCGGCGGTCCCGTTCTGTGAGCTTGTGTGGCCTACCACTTCACAGCTGAGCCGTTGTTGCTCCCAGATGTTTCCACTTCACAATAACAGCACTTACAGTTGACCGGGGCAGCTCTAGCAGGGCTGAAATTTGATGAACTGACTTGTTGGAAAGGTGGCATCCTATGACGGTGCCATGTTGAAAGTCACTGAGCTCTTCAGTAAGGCCATTCTACTGCCAATGTTTGTCTATGGAGATGACATGGCTGTGTGCTCGATTTTATACACCTGTCATTAACGGGTATGGCTGAAATAGCCAAATCCATTAATTTGAAGGGGTGTCCACATACTTTTGTATATGTAATGTATTGTCATATAATTACATTATTATTGCTAAGATTTGTCTAGGAACTCACTACATGAAAGCCACAGGCCTTAAAAAGTAGAGTTCAACAACCATGTCTCCGTCACTAACAACTACAGTCATGGGTGTTAACTGTACAATTTACTAAAAAAGAAAAGGCAGCCTGGGAAATATGCAAATTAGGCTTTACACCATACAGTGTTAAAGCAACACTCAGAAATGATTTACTGTAACACTACAGGTGTTAATTTCTAAGCAAAGTGAGTCCAGTTTACTCTAGATCAAGCGTTGTGTTTTACACTGTAGGTGTTGCGTAATCCTCTACAGTAGAACTATGCAAACACCACAATCGAGTTCCTTTGAACACTTTAAGAGTAAAATGGGGAACACTGCAACAGAGTTAAATCTTTAACACTTTCAAAAGTGTTATTTTAACACCAGTACAGTGGGACTCATATGTTAACAGAAAAAAGTGTACATTTTACACTTTAGAGTTAAATGTATGCCATTGATTTTCCTGTGTAGGCTTCCTGTGACGTCAGACATTTCACTCCATTCCCTCCCCATTTGGCGCCAAACACAGATTGACAATGTTTGCTAATGTTTGTGTCCATTGCCAGCATGTGTGCCTGGTTACACACATATTATTGTTGCTAAAACGTACCTAGCATCCATTGTATTTGTTATATAAAAGAGCAAATGAGAAGAAATGTTAACATTGTTTATTTATAAGTTAAGTTACATTGTATCGCAGGCCTGTAGCCTACCACCGCAGATTGTTAAAGGACTGATGCTTCGCACCCCCTGTCAAGACCATGGGGACAAGACCGCCAATTATCCAATATTTGACACTTCTGTAGGTCTACAGTAGGCCTAGCCCATGCAGCACTGCATTAGTGGAAACCAAGACTGTTCTCAGGGCAGGCATGGTTGTAGCTAGATATGTTTGAGTTGCATCAGGGACAATTGTAGCATTTTAGCTAACCCTAACCCTTTTCATAACCTTAACCTAATTCTCCTAACCTGCCAAGTTAATTCTCCTAACCTTCTGTGTAAGTTCTACAAACGTGCTACAAAAAGTCACTTCTGCTAATCAAAACGGGCAGACCTACCCTGAGAACAGTCTTGGTTTCCACTAATGAGGCATGTGCACTGTGACTTTCATGGAAAAGTCAGATTCTGTACTGGCTTCTTGGAACTGATTTTAACTTGTCTTCATTCTATTCAGTTGGTAAGTAGCTGCATGTTTGTTACCTTTTGCAATTTACCTTTTGCTACCTTTTGCAATTGAAAGACCATTTTCTGGCTGTGGGTGGTAGAATCTGTGTTATAATTAGGTTTGTTGTAGATGTTTTGAATATCAAATGGGTATTCTCCTAGATTTCTAAAATAGATAGATAGATAGATAGATAGATAGATAGATAGATAGATAGATAGATAGATAGATAGATAGATAGATAGATAGATAGATAGATAGATAGATAGATAGATAGATAGATAGATAGATAGATAGATAGATAGATAGATAGATAGATAGATAGATAGATAGATAGATAGATAGATAGATAGATAGATAGATAGATAGATAGATAGATAGATAGATAGATAGATAGATAGATAGATAGATAGATGGTTGAGAGAATGTGCAAAACTTTCATCAAGGCAAAGGGTGGCTACTTTGAAGAATCTAAAATCTAAAATATATTTTGATTTGTTTAACACTTTTTTTGGTTACTACATGATTCCATATGTGTAATATTTCATAGTTTTGATGTCTTCACTATTATTCTACAATGTAGAAAATGGTAATAATAAAGAAAAACCCTTGAATGAGTAGGTGTGTCCAAACCTTTGACTGGTACTGTATGTATCTTTGTTAGAAAGAATACTATATTCCCTTGATGGAGTGATGCTGAATGTAAAAAAGTCTCAACTTACCCCACTCTCCCCTAATTGAATTAGAGAAAAAATTGTTATTTTAGGGAAACAATGGCATTGTCTTCGCATGTATCCTACTATTCCTGTTCATAGATTGGTGTGCTGTAGTACACAAATATTGTGTATCTGAGAATTGCAGTGTCACACAGTGCTTTTTAATGACAGGGGGCAGTGTGGAATCAGAGGATTCAGACAATTGGATAAATGTTTAAGTATTTTTATTCCTCTAAAATGAGCTCATCTCTCAGTCAGTAAAAAGCTCTTACTGCCCTCGTTTATTGCGGCTTCATTAAAAGACATTTCCACACTCACTTTTATCTAGCTATATCCAGGATAAATGACAAGTCAATTATTGTATTTTTACACACCGAGACCACTATGCACAACATATCACATACTTTAAAACCCATAATGACATTAATGCAGATAGCCTACGTTAGGTTCAATTAGATTAACAAATTAGAAAAACAACATGAAATTACAACGGGTTACCATTGTCAGATAGGTAAGTCATGAACCCTGTCAGTGAATGGGGGTCATATCCATATCCAAAAGCCTGTATATATTTACAGTTAATTACCATCAGCTGTTTTCATTGTTAGAAGAACATGAATGTTTATGGTTTCATTCATGATCGGGTTCATTATGTGTCATCTCTGCCATTTTATACACTACCTGATCACCTCCATGTCTCAGAGAGGCACCGGTGGAGTCTGTTATTCTCTCTCTCTACCCTCCTCCCTCACTAGGCCTCAGAACCAGGCTTTCCTAGTCACTTTCGTCTACTTTCTAAAGGCTGTGGGAAATCCTTGACAAATATCCAAACTGAAGTTTCTCTCTCATGGCACGCTGTGACATATCTCCCCTCCTCTAAATAAGAGGCTAACATGCCAGTGAGGACCTTGCCTCAGTTCATAACCGACACCCCTCTAAATCCTTTGGCAGGGACTGTATGTCCTTGGTGCTTCCATATCCACAGCCCATCTCATGTCTTTAACACTTCTGTTGCCGGTGCCTCCCTGTTTCTCTATACAACAAATCAGATTCAGTCACAAAAAAGAAGAAAGAAACATCTGTCATCAGTGTCATTTGTTTTAATACAACATGGGTGGTGACATGGACACCAGACATTCAGAAAGGGAACACTAGTCTGGGAAGGGCTGGGTTGCTGTGCTCATCCAGTTCGGTTGGCTGTCTGATCAGCTCCGCAAATAGGCAGTGACTGGCTAGAAAAACACCTGTTAACTACGAGCCCCGCCAAAACAGATGGCATTTCCCACTGACCACTGGGAGCCGGGGATCTGGTACCACCAACACAAACAGTCAGGATGGAGAGAGGTCTAACATACAGTATCTTCTACCTCCTCTGATCTTCCGAGGTCGGATTCAGCAGACTGGAAGGGAGCACCAGCCCTAGGTCCATTAAATATTCAACCTAGCCATTGCCCAATGAAAAATTAGCAATGACCTCTGTTGGAGAGCCCAAATTTCATGAGAGAAGCATGTCAGTGGTTTCTTCTGAGTGAAGCATCATCGTGCTTGGCACTCGTCTGATGGTGCTCACATTGAATCAGCGCTGCTCGGACCCCTCTGTGTTCACCACTCTCTGTGTTAGCCTCACCTCTCCCTCCTCTGTCCTCTCATCAGAGAGATAGAAGACTCATGGCCTCAGCGATCCTCCTGTGGTAATTTTTTGTGAACGGTCGGTTGCTATGCAAAATGATATCCACCACTTAATTTCATTTCAGAAATCCTACATGTCAACATTTCAAGTTTCAAATAATAATTCAGTACAGGCTCTCTCACTCCCATGGCTATTTAAACAGTATTTAGATGACTGTGTAGGAAGACAAGCCTTACAAAAACCTCCTCCAGGACAGGTGTATTTGTGACATGACTGGGCCAAATGAGTTAAAAGACAAACCAGACAAACGCAGGTCAGCAACAGCATGTGTGACAAGCAAGTTAATCTACGACTGCAATCACATGGATGACCATGATTTGAAGTTGATCATAGTACTTAGTGACGTTGATAGCAAATGACCTCAACTGCACAAACAAAAGGGTTGAAAAGAATCAAATGAATGGAAACACATTTCTGAGTTTCACCAATCAAACATTCATTTAGTGAGGCTTTCAAATCATTACAATCAAAGATACGTAATACATTTGTGAAAACGTATTTGTTGGGCACTGAACAAGCTTATTGATCAGTATTTTACCACTTTATTAATTTGTTGTTTTGCAGATATGTATTTTTTTATAGGGCTGGGATGTGTCCAGTTCTCAGACAGGGTCTCCCACTCCCGTTCACATGGCACCTGGTCTCCACACACGCGGCTGGACACCCACCTTGGTGGCGATGAAGCGGGGTTTGGGTGCCTGCATGGCATTCGCCCTGAGGGGAGGGGGGAGGTTAGCAAGGAAACTCAGATCAGGGGCACTCTGAAACTGCTTGGCTCCTTGGAGCCCACTGTTGGACACTCCAGGATAGGGTGCTGGGTGGGGGATGGGGATGGGGTTGGGGACAGGGGTGGCATTGATTCTGGGCAGCCCGGGCAGGCCACCTGAATAGGTAGGAGCAAGGACGGGATGTGGGGCAGAGACAGGGGCAGGGAGTGGGGAGAGAGGAGCAGGGGTTGGGGAGATCATGTCGGAGCGGGTCAGGCGCTCTCCCAGCGTTGTGGCTGAACGAGGAGCGATTACGATAGGGGCCAGGCACGGGGCTGACATGGGCGTGGGTGTGGAGAAGCGTTTGATCTCGTACACACGGGCCGCCTTTACTGGGATCTGTCTGGGAGGAGTCATGGTGCTGCCCACCATAGTAGTATACCCTCCCTGCTGCTGCCTCTGGTCCTGGTAGGAGGGCATCGCCGACAGGTTGGCAACACTACCCCCGAACATAGCTGAGTTGAGCTGGTAAGGCTGCCTTCTCATGAAATCCAGAGCTTTGATTCCCTCCCTATGAGAGGCTATCCCCCCTCTGCTTCCCCAGCCCCTCCTGTCAGACCTGCCTGTATCTCTCTGTGGCCCCACAGGGCAGGAGGGGGCCAGCAACGGGTTGTAACCAATGGGCGGGGGGGCGCGGATATTAGGGGATAACTTCCACTGTGAGTTGATATTGGGGTTGGGGGCATCCTGGGACTCGGCCCCTGGATGGGTGACCTCCTGCTGGTAGGCGGTCTCCAGTGGGGTGTCTACCACATACCGGTCCATGCGGCTCTGCCTGCGGGCAAACAGCTGAGCCCCCTTCCCCTCCGCCTGGGGAATCTGGGGGGCCTCGTGGATGACCCTGGGTTTGGGGGCCACCGGTGGAGGCATCCTGCCCCGGCCGGCTTCAGCACCCTGGTCTTCCTCTGCGCCTGACTCAAAGCCCATCATACTCCCTGAGTAGCTTCCGTAGCGGGGCTTGTCATCCAGGTTCTGCACCATGTTCAGCAGGTCAGGGTTGGGAGAGTTCTTCTTCTCATCAGGGACTCGGAACATGGGCCTCCTGCCGCTGCGCCGACAAGCCTCCTGGAGGTAACCGGTACGACCACCAGGGAGAGGTGGGACCTTGGACATGGGGGATCTGGGTACAGGTGCAGGGGCTGTGGGGGGTGGGAGTGGGACAACTGAGACTGAAGCTTGGGGCATGTGGGCAACAGAAACTTGAGGTTGGGGTATGGGGTCAAATGACACTGGAGCTGGGAATGTTTGGGCCACTGAGACTGGGGCTAGGTGTATGGGTGCACCTGAGAATGGCGATGGGGGTGGAATTGAGGGTACGTTGGCAAATGATACTGGGGGTGGTGGTACGGAGGCAAACGAGACTGGAGGTGGGGGTATGGGGCCACCTGAGAATTGTGCTGGGGGTGGAGGTATGGCTGTAAAGGATGCCTGTGGAACAGAGGGCATGGGTGGTTCTGCCAGGCTCTCCACAGAGAAGGCAGGACGGGGATGAGTGGCCGGTGCTGAGGAGGGGGTGGAGAATGGTCCTCCGGACACAGAGGACGGGGGAGAGAAGAAGGAAGGATAACCACTTGGAGGCAGCTCTGATGTGGTGGAGAAGGGAGATCCTACAATAGACACAGAGGTTGCTGGGCGCTGGGCCCTTTTGGTGACGACGGGGCGGAACACAACAGGAGCGGTGGCGGCTCGGTTAGTCACGAACCCTGGGTTGAAGGGTCGGGCTGTTCTGTTGAGCACAGAGCTGGAGGAGAGTTCTGGCAGCGGTGTTTGGGGCGGAGGTATGTGAGTGGTTAAGATGGACACTTGGGCGGTGATTGGTTTGGGTGCCACAGTCGGGGGTAACATCACCATGCTAGCTGTACTCACTGCAGAGTAGGCTACGTCTCCGTTAGCCATACTGTAGGCAGTAGGAGCAGCTGGGGCCGGTGCCATAGGCCTCTCTGCCACAGACGAGCCTCCTCCTGGAAGGCTACAGGGGGTGGTTGTGCCATAGGTTGCTGAGGTTGGTAGATCTGTGGTTGTGTCTCTGGCTGGCTCTGTGCATATGGCTGAGGCTGCTCCTGGATCTGTGGTTGGTTCGGTGGTTGGGTCTTTATCTGAGGCTGGGGCGTCACCTGAGGCTGGGCGGCAGCCACCTTCTTGGCATGCTCTGCCGCCCTCTTCCTCTGCTGCTCAAACAGCTGGGCGCCCTTCCCAGAGATGTCACTCAGGCCGGGACTGGGGGCATCTTCTGCCCCATCCCCTCGCTCTCCCCCTGCGGTCGCCCTCTTCTCCAGTGCATCCAGGTAGTCACTGTCCCAGGTGGTGTCAGGGGCGGCCGAGAAGCCATCCTCATCAAACTCTGACTCGCTTCCTGGGAAAAGACCATCTTCCTCCTGGGAATCTTGCTGCATGTCCTCGTCCACGCTGCCGAAGCTGGTCAGCGTGTACTTCTTGGAGCGCTGCCGGCGCTTCTTGAACATCAGCACGCCCTTGGAGTGGGGGTTGGGGGCGTCTGTCAGAAGGGAGGCAATAGAGCGGCACTTGGTTCTGGCCTCCTTCACCTGTTTGTCTTGAACCGTGTCACCCCGGTTCAGTTCTGTAGGGGTCAAAGAGCATGTTTTAGGGTGGGTACATCTGTAGAAACACCATTACTGTTTCTATAACATCTCGGTTGTGGTCATTTCCATTTCAATTCAATCGATTCCATTTTTTAAAAGCTCGATAAAACTTATTTTCAATTCTTGAATAGGAGTTACAATTCATCTGAAATGATTACCTTAAAATGGAACTGCACCTAACATAATATACACAAAAAAGATCACAGGATAGTCTTTTACAGGGTGGACTTTGATGCATTGGCAAAAGTAAAAGGGGATTTTTTTTTACCAGTGTTGAACGACCAGATATAACTTTTAAATTGAGAACTCATGACATCAGATTTAAAAAAAACAACAACAGCTAACTACAATTCTACACATTTTGCCATGGGGCAAAGAGAAAAATGTGCAGTTTTATAGCTAATCTCATGCTATTCTACACATTTTTGCCAAGGATAAATATGCTTTCTGGGGAGGAGGGGGCGACCTCCAGGGGGAAGTGGGTGTGTGGTACACCAGTGACAAGCATCCATATTCTAACATGCTACCAGAGCACATCCGGAAAAACGCCTGGCAAGCCACAGGATTTTACATTTACCAAGGTGAAGGAGAAATCCCAAGTTCCCAGCTATTAACTTCACCAAATAGCATAGAGGTAACGAAAAGTCCCATCTTGTAGGTAAACTTCAAGCAGACGTTGTACATTTCCACCAACTTGTAATAGTTTTAGACAGATATGATCCCAATGTGCCCAACTATGTAAGGAGTTGTTATTTAATTTGTCACCGGCAGTGTCCCTGAACAGGACATGTGAACCTCTAATTAGGGACACTCAGGGATTTATGGCATTTTATTTATTTAAACTTCTTAAAACAGCATCGTCCTCAAATAGCCTCAGCCCTCCCTCTCTGGGAGTTTATGACGGTGACAGGTGGACAGGTTGTAAGTCTTTGGCATATATATGTGTATGTACTTTGTCATGAGTTTATTATTGGCATACAGTTTGACATGATCACATACTCAGGGGTTCCCAAACTCTTTCACTCGGGGCCCCCCTTCCAGCATTGGGGAACATCCTGCGCATGCGCCACGTCTATCTCTATGGGCAAAAGCACTGTTCATGACACAAATTGTTGACACCCCTCTTGTTGGTGGAGAGAATTTGGTATGTTTAACGCTTATTTCCTGCAATTCTACACATTTTGTCATGGGGTGCAAATACATTTTTGCAGTTTTAAAGCTAATTTTCTTGCAATTCTATACATGTTACCATGTCTTATGTGTATTCATGTGATATTTGAGTGACATGGGCTAAGAAACCTACAGTTGAAGTCGGAAGTTTACATACACTTAGGTTGGAGTCATTAAAACTAGTTTTTCAACCACTCCACAAATTTCTTGTTAACAAACTATAGTTTTGGCAAGTCGGTTAGGACATCTACTTTGTGCATGACACAAGTAATTTATCCAACAATTGTTTACAGACAGATTATTTCACTTATAATTCACTGTATCACAATTCCAGTGGGTCAGAAGTTTACATACACTAAGTTTACTGTGCCTTTAAACAGCTTGGAAAATTCCAGAAAATGATGTCATGGCTTTAGAAGCTTCTGATAGGCTAATTGACATCATTTGAGTCAATTGGAGGTGTACCTGTGGATGTATTTCAAGGCCTACCTTCAAACTCAGTGCCTCTTTGCTTGACATCATGGGAAAATCAAAAGAAATCAGCTAAGACCTCAGAAAAAGATTGGAGACCTCCACAAGTCTGGTTCATCCTTGGGAGCAATTTCCAAACGCCCTGAAGGTACCACGTTCATCTGTACAAACAATAGTACGCAAGTATAAACCCCATGGGACCACGCAGCCGTCATACTGCTCAGGAAGGAGACGCATTCTGTCACCTAGAGATGAACGTACTTTGGTGCGAAAAGTGCAAATCAATCCCAGAACAACAGCAAAGGACCTTGTGAAGATGCTGGAGGAAACAGGTACAAAAGTATCTATATCCACAGTAAAACGAGTCCCACATCGACATAACCTGAAAGGCCGCTCAGCAAGGAAGAAGCCACTGCTCCAAAAAAGCCAGACTACGGTTTGCAAGTGCACATGGGGACAAAGATCATACCTTTTGGAGAAATGTCCACTGGTCTGATGAAACAAACATAGAACTGTTTGGTCATAATGACCATCGTTATGTTTGGAGGAAAAAGGGGGTTGCTTGCAAGCCGAAGAACACCATCCCAATCGTGAAGCACGGGGGTGGCAGCATAATGCTGTGGGGGTGCTTTGCTGCAGGAGGGACTGGTCCACTTCACAAAATAGATGGCATCATGAGGAAGGAAAATTATGTGGAAATATTGAAGCAACATCTCAAGACATCAGTCAGGAAGTTAAAGCTTGGTCGCAAATGGGTCTTCCAAATGGACAATGACCCCAAGCATACTTCCAAAGTTGTGGCAAAATGGCGTAAGGACCACAAAGTCAAGGTATTGGAAAGCCCTGACCTCAATCCTATAGAAAATCTGTGGGCAGAACTGAAAAAGCATGTGTGAGCAAGGAGGCCTACAAACCTGACTCAGTTACACCAGCTCCGTCAGGAGGAATGGGCCAAAATTCACCCAACTTATTGTGGGAAGCTTGTGGAAGGCTACCCGAAAATGTTGACCCAAGTTAAACAATTTAAAGGCAATGCTACCAAATACTAATTGAGTGTATGTAAACTTCTGACCCACTGGGAATGTGATGAAAGAAATAAAAGCTGAAATAAATCATTCTCTCTACTATTATTCTGACATTTCACATTCTTAAAATAAAGTGGTTATCCTAAATGACCTAAGACAGGGAATATTTATTAGGATTAATGTCAGGAATTGTGAAAAACTGAGTTTAAATGTATTTGGCTAAGGTGTATGTAAACTTCCGACTTCAACTGTAAATTTAAAAACATTAGCTGACATGGGCTAATTGAGCTGGACATTTCTGACAAGTTATAAATAGCTCTCTAAGGTATGCAATGACTAACATGACAAAAGGAACTGATGATGCACTACCCAATTTGGAAATTGCACCTTGTGCATTCTACTATTACAACTTTCAAGAATAAGTTTAAAGCCGGACTGAGTTCCTTAAAATATATATATATATATATATATATATATATATATATATATATATATATATATATTATATATATATATATATATATATATATATATACAGCGCATCCGGAAAGTATTCAGACCCCTTTACTTTTTCCACATTTTGTTACGTTACAGCCTTATTCTAAAATTGATTAAATACTTTTCCCCCTCATCAATCTACACACATTACCCCATAATCACAAAGCAAAAACAACTTTGTTTGGCAGCGATTACAGCCTTGAGTCTTCTTGGGTATGACGCTACAAGCATGGCACAACTGTATTTGGGAAGTTTCTACCATTCTTCTCTGCAGATCCTCTCAAGCTCTGTCAGGCTGGATGGGTAGCGTTGCTGCACAGCTATTTTCAGGTCTCTCCAGAGATGTTCGATTGGGTTCAAGTCCGGGCTCTGGCTGGGCCACTCAAGGACATTCAGAGACTTGTCCCGAAGCCATTCTCGCGTAGTCTTGGCTGTGTGCTTAGGGTCGTTGTCCTGTTGGAAGGTGAACCTTCGCCCCAGTCTGAGGTCCTGAGCACTCTGGAGCAGGTTTTCATCAAGGATCTCTCTGTACTTTCCGTTCATCTTTCCCTCGATCCTGACTAGTCTCCCAGCCCCTGCCGCTGAAAAACATCCCTACAACATGATGCTGCCACCACCATGCTTCACCGTAGGGATGGTGCCAGGTTTCCTTCAGACGTGACGCTTGGCATTCAGGCCAAAGAGTTCCATCTTGGTTTCATCAGACCAGAGAATCTTGTTTCTCATGGTCTGAGAGTCTTTAGGTGCCTTTTGGCAAACTCCAAGCGGGCTGTCATATGCCTTTTACTGAGGAGTGGCTTCCGTCTGGCCACTCTACCATGAAGGCCTGATTGGTGGAGTGCTGCAGAGATGGTTGTCCTTCTAGAAAGTTCTCCCATCTCCACAGAAGACATCTGGAGCTCTGTCAGAGTGACCATCGGGTTCTTGGTCACCTCCCTGACCAAGGCCCTTCTCCCCCGATTGCCCAGTTTGGCCGGGTGGCCAGCTCTAAGAAGTGTCTTGGTGGTTCCAAACTTCTTCCATTTAAGAATGATGAAAGTCACTGTGTTCTTGGGGATTTTAAATGCTTTGGTACCCTTCCCCAGATCTGTGCCTCGACACAATCCTGTCTCTGAGCTCTACGGACAATTCCTTCGACCTCTTGGGTTGGTTTTTGTTCTGACATGCACTGTCAACTGTGAGACCTTATGTAGACAGGTGTGTGCTTTTCCAAATCATGTCCAATCAATTGAATTTACCACAGGTGGACTCCAATCAAGTTGTAGCAACATCTCAAGGATGATCAATGGAAACAGGAGGTCTGAATACTTACGTAAATAAGGTATTTGTAAATAAGGTATTTCTGTTTTTTATTTTTAATACATTTGCAAAGATTTCCAAAAACCTGTTTTTGCTTTGTCATTTTGTAGTATTGTGAGTAGATTGATGAGGATTTTTATTTATTTAATCAGTTTTAGAATAAGACTGTAACGTAACAAAATGTGGAAGAAGTCAAGGGGTCTGAATACTTTCCGAAGGCATTGTATATATACAGTATATATATATATATATATATATATATATATATATATATATATATATATATATATCTATATATATATATATATATATATATATATATATTTTGGCTGTTAGCCCAGGTCACTGGTCCATACATCAGCTGCCAGTTAGCTCTGACAGACTGATCACAGCAGAGGGCACTCCGCCTCACTATTATTAACTATTGGTGTATTGGTGTCTAAACCATCTGACCAAAGACAGCACGTGTGTCTATTGATATGTGTATGAATGGAATGGTATCATATTTTGTTTACTCTAGATACATTTTAAATGTGTCTCATTTATACCTGTAAATAGTTAATGTACGTTTTTGTTAAATGTGTTTTTTGTTGCAGTCTTAGCGAGATGTAGCAAGACATGAACATGAGAGGGGAATATAGTGGAAGAGAAGGACAGAGTGATCTATAAAGGTGGTCAAAGAGGGAAAGTGAGAGGGGGGAGAAAGAGTCTGCTACTTGATACCAGATAGCAGCTGCATGGAGATGCCTTTCCCAGTTCATATATGCAGTGCTCGGGTTAGCGGATCACTGAACTAGGGGACAAATATAGTCTCTGTTCTACGTAGAATGGACCGCCTCTGTCCTCTAAAAGGGGCCCCATGCAGACTGATGCTGTCTCATGAGGAATGCTCTGCCTTTACCTGAGAGGACACCTATGAAAATAACATTTGATTTGATTTGAGAAGCCACCAACACCATCTCATTATCTTAATTAAATTTTTTTTATATGATTTACACTGAACAAAAATGTAAACGCAACATGCAACAATTTCAAAGATTTTACTTCATATAAGGAAATGATGACTGGGAATACAGATATGCATCTGTTGGTCACAGATACCTTTAAAAAAAAGGTAGGGGCGTGGATCAGAAAACCAGTCAGTATCTGCTGTGACCAACGTTTGCCTCATACAGCGTGACACATCTCCTTCGCATAGAGTTGATCAGGCTGTTGATTGTGGCCTGTGGAATGTTGTCCCGCTCCTATTCAATGGCTGTGCAAAGTTGCTGGATATTGGCAGGAACTGGAACACGCTGTCGTACACGTCGATCCAGAGCATCCCAGACATGCTCAATGGGTGACATGTCTGGTGAGTATGCAGGCCATGGAAGAACAGGGACATTTTCAGCTTCCAGGAATTGTGTACAGATCCTTGCAACATGGGGCCGTGCATTATCATGCTGAAACATGAGGTGATGGCGGTGGATGAATGGCACGACAATGGGCCTCAGGATCTCGTCATAGTATCTCTGTGCTTTCAAATTGCCATCGATAAAATGCAATTGTGTTCTTGTCCGTAGCTTATGCCTGCCCATACTATAACCCCACCACCACCATGGGGCACTCTATTCACAACGCTGACATCAGCAAACCGCTCGCCCACACAACACCATGCACGCTGTCTGGCATCTGCCCGGTACAGTTGAAACCGGGATTAATCCGTGAAAAGCACACTTCTCCAGTGTGCCAGTGGCCAGCGAAGGTGAGCATTTGCCCACTGAAGTCGGTTACGACGCCGAACTGCAGTCAGTTCAAGACCCTGGTGAGGACCAAGAGCATGCAGATGAGCTTCCTTGAAACAGTTTCTGACAGTTTATGCAGACATTCTTCAGCTGTGCAAACCCACAGTTTCATCAGCTCTCCGGGTGGCTGGTCTCAGATGATCCCAAAGGGGAAGAAGCTGGATGTGGAGGTCCTGGGCTGGCATGGTTACACAAAATCTGCGGTTGTGAGGCCGGTTGGATGTACTGTCAAATTCTCTAAAGCGACGTTGGAGGCAGCTTATGGTAGAGAAATTAACATTAAATTCTCTGGCAACAGCTCTGGTGGACATTCCTGCAGTCAGCATGCCAATTTCACGCTCCCTCAAAACTTGAGACATCTGTGGAATTGTGTTTTGTGACAAAACTGTACATTTTAGAGTGGCCTTTTATTGTCCCCAGCACAAGGTGCACCTGTGTGATGATCATGCTGTTTAATGAGCTTCTTGATATGCCACACCTGTCAGGTGGATGGATTATCTTTGCAAAGAAGAATTGCTCACTAACAGGGATGTAAATATATTTGTGCACAACATTGGAGAGAAATAAGCTTTTTGTGTGTATTGAACATTTCTGGGATCTTTTATTTCAGCTAATGAAACATGGGACCAGCACTTTACATGTTGTGTTTATATTTTTGTTCAGTATAGATAACTCACAATATGCAGTGCCAGCCTCAACTAGCCATTACATTACTAATTATTTGTACAGTAACACATCCCACATCACCCTATGGGGCATGATTAGGATACTCACTGGCTTGCTTGGCCTTGTCCATGTAGGTGACACTGAGCTCCTCGTCCAGAGGGGTGTCTATGGGCCCCACCATGGGCACCAGCTGCCTGCGGGAGCTCAGCTGCATGGCCCCTTTGGCCCTCTCGGGGGAAACCAGTGGGACCACGTTGGAGGGTTCCTGGAAGCCACTGTCCTCCTCCGCCACTCCGTCCCGTCCTGGGCCCTGGTCCTCAACCGAGGAGATGATGGAGGAGGTCTCTGTGGAGGTCTGGGAGGACCACATCTCTGGAGGGGGCTGGTAAATCACCTCCTTGCGGGCCACCCCCGGCAGGCCTTCTCCACCTCCTCGGCCATCCATTAGCCCGTGGCCCTGGAGTCCTGGGTAGAACCGGCCATCTGGGGCGCTGTCATAGCCGCTAAACTCTGAGGTCTCCCCTCCCTCCTGGGAGGCTCTGCCAGAGGATTTACCGGGTAAGTTGCTGGGACTTCTACGCTTCTGCCTCCTCTGCCTCTCGTGGGCCGCCACATCTGCGTCGCTGTCTGTCTCCCCGTAGTAGGCCTCACTGCCTGGGGGCGAGGTGAGGCCGCTGCGCCCCATGGGGGACAGGACGGAGGACCTGCCATGGGGGACCTCCCTGACAGATGCTGTGTGGTGGGGTCTGGAGGAGGGGGACATGGCGCGCAGGGCGGCTCGGTACTCTTTGTCAATGCGGGGGGATGGGGCGCGGGTCAACAGCACCACAGACTGGAAGCCTGCTGGTGCCCTGTGGGAGCAAATTCACAATACGGTTACTTTACTATTGTTGGGCATACTGTTCCGGCTTATGCTATTTGCATAAGACTTAATGATGGAGTAGCACTTAATGCTAATATAACAGGTGAAACAATATGTTAACCTCAGGATTTTTATGCATAAAGGTGTACACATCAATGGCGATTGTAATTGCTCTCTGACCTCTTGACCCGGATGTGTAATATTCCTGGGGAGCTGTCGATTATGGTCATGGCCTGGGAATGGGACAGACCTCCACATAGCTGCTCGTTGATGGACACCAGCTCATCGCCCTCCCGCAGTCCTGCTCTGCACGCCTTACTGCGCTTACGCACCTACACCAGCAGGGAGAGACAAAATATCACCCACAGTAATCCATGTAAGATAGGTTTGCAAACAGTTCCCAATTCCATACTCTCTCTCTCTCCTCTCATTCTCTCTCTTCTCTCTCCTCTCCTCCGTCTCCTCTCTCTCCTCTCCGTCTCTCTCTCTCTCTCTCTGCTCTCTCTCTCCTCTCCTCCTTCTCCTCCTCCCGCTCCGCTTCTCCGGTCTCCTCTCCTCTTCTCTCTAACAATCTCTCTCTAACTATTTATCTCTCTGTCATCTCTCCTTCATTCTGAAAAGTGATATTGGATGGAGAACATGGCAAAGCAGCTCTTGATGTCTTGTCTTGATGACTTGCCCTGACAGCTTGGACGTGCTGCAGACATTTCCCACAAGCTGTGGCTGAAGTGAAGCCCTCTTACCCACTTCAGCAGGAAAATGCCAGCCAGCACCTCTCCTCCCCCATGCAGTCTCCCACTATCTGTGCCCAGGGTCAATCCATAGGATAGCACAGGGGAATGACACCCTGCCAGTCCTATCTGTTATACTGTGTACATGTAAGTTATGTAGTATAGCATATTTCAGATGCATTTCTTTATCCTAGATCCCTAGAGGTTATTCTAAGATATGATACTGAATACATCTGCATATTGAATATGATATGACTACAAAGAGTGTGTATGTGTTCATTGTTTGGACCCGAGGAAGGGTATACAGTGTTCAACCCAATTAATCTCTATAAAAATATTCAGAGCTGACATTGTTGGCCCGCAATTAAATTACAGGTCCCAGTTAGCTAACCCTGTCAAAGTGGCCCTAACTTTGTGTTGCTACTTGTGGAAGGGGACATTAATAAGTCAATCAGTCACCTTGTGGTCTTAGCTCCTGGCTGCTGCCCCTGTATCAAACACACACATGCACACGCACACGCACACATAAACCAACACACACACACACATCAAATGGGGGACAATATCACAAGTCCCACACATTTGTCACATTGCCACGGCTCTTTCAATAAAGCCACATCGTCCCCCATAACCCCCACCTGTGTGTGTCATGGCATGCAGCAAGAGGCCTAACATGATTATGCCACCTCCTTTCTGGGGTCAGGGGCCATATGGTTTTAGATGGGCCACCACAGACACAGTTGTCTGTTCAGATTAGGTGAGCTGACGTCTACACTCCTGTCCAACTCTGTGCAAGTCACCTCCATGTTGGATAATGATCAACTATTTTTGAGGGATCACTATTCTTAGGGCTCTAATAATAATGTTGTTCTCTATTACGCAATTCAGGAAGTAGGGTATGGCGGTTGTGCTGATGCAACCTATGAGATTTTAAGAGAGTATACATGTTGAAGCTACATGATCTGTAAGGACCTCTTACTCTGGTAGATACTTGATACTTGTGTGAGGATAGAGGAATTTATATTTGTTTTGAAGGGGTTCTTTAACCTTTTGGATCTCAACTAGCACTGGCAAAGAATATAACCCAGACAATTTCTTCACTAGGCTGAAACACACACCTTGGTGAGCCACCCCTTAACCCAGAATAGCCTGTTTGAAAAGCGTTTTTTCTCAGTCAACACTCAGTAAATGTGGTTTCAGTGTGTGTGTGTGTGTGTGTGTGTGTGTGTGTGTGTGTGTGTGTGTGTGTGTGTGTGTGTGTGTGTGTGTGTGTGTGTGTGTGTGTGTGTGTGTGTGTGTGTGTGTGTGTGTGTGTGTGTTCATACTATATGTACTAAAATCCCCTATACAGAAAAATGACTTATATTCAGATGGGTAAAGAATAGATCCAAGAGAAATACTTTGGTAATGTGGAAATGCAATGGGGTAATGCATAGGCAGAGAAGTGATAAGGCAGTTGGATTTCTAAGGTGTGAAACTGATATGCTGTGAACTGATATGCTGTATGTATCTATGAACTGGATATCCTCTTATGAATATGTGTAGTGACTGACTGAGAACCCTGACTGAGAACCAACCATTCAGAAACGAGAGAGATCCAATGATGACCTTCTGCAATTGATGATCTAATCTGTCCAACATCTGTACAATCATGCACCAAATGCTTTATGGAAAACAGTAGTTCATGTGTATTTTGTAACTATATGTTTTTTCTGATGTCATTTCACAAAGCATGAAATTATATCTGCCTTGCTACATACACTCCAAGCAGGAGAAGTTTTAAGTTCAACAGCTCTATCAATCACTCCAATGTCTCCACATGAGACCCATTCTAGAACAGACACATGACTCATGCTCAGGCCTCTCAGCCCCTGCCCATGATTGCAGCCAATATTCCATCTGAACCACATTCACAACCCTTTATAACCCACTAATTCCAGACCCAATATATTTTAGAATGCACTTTCATAGACATAGACACTGTTATCGTCCAGAATGTCCCTCTTACCATATCCCCTGTCCCTTGAAACAGTTTTACCATCCTACCTTTCACTGAAGCCATACCTTGGCCACCTGAAGTGGTTTCTGGTGCTCCGCGCCCCCCTGGAGACGAAAGCCCCATGGTGCTCCACCGGACAAGGTGATTATAACCTCTTCTGCCACCATTATTGTGTGAAATGTCCTCCTTTTTTGTGTTTCTGTCCGTTTGTCTCTCTTTTTGTCTTTCTGGGGGGCCCTCAGTGCATTTACTCCATAGTCATCAGGGCCCCCTCAGAGAGCTCTGTCCACTCTCCTTCAGCTATAATGTCATGGAGCTGACTTCTCTCAGCCCACTACTCTGGCACCTGGGCACGCACACATACACACACTCTTTCAATGACACACACACATGCCCACCCACACCCTAAGTATGGGCACTGCTGATAGGGCTGCAGCTGGGGGTATGGGCTGAAATAGAATAATAGAGAGAGAAGGAAGTAAAGGGGGGGGGGTTTGGGGGGGTTTGGGGGGGGGGGCCCCCCGGAAAAAATTGGTTTGCTAATATAACAGTGAACAATAATGTTAACCCTCAGGATTTTATGCATAAAGGTTTACACATCAATGGCGATTGTTAATTGCTCCTCTGACCTCTTACCCGATGTGTAATATCTGGGGAGCTGTCGATTTGGTCATGGCCTGGGAATGGGACAGACCTCCACATAGCTGCTCGTTGAGTACAACCAGCTCATCGCACCCCCGCAGTCGCTGTCTGCCCGCCTTACTGCGCTTACGCACCTACAACCACAGCAGGAGAGAAAATATCACACCCACATATCCATGTAAGATAGGTTTGCAAACAGTTCCCGATTCCATACTCTCTCTCTCTCTCCTCATTCTCTCTCTCGTCTCTCTCTCTCTTCAATCTCTCCCTCAATCTCTCTCCGTCTCCTCTCTCTCTCTCATCTCTCCACTCTCATATCCTCTCTCTCGTCTCTTCTCCTCGACAATCTCTCTCTAACTATTTATCTCTCTGTCCTTTCTCTCCTTCCATTCTGAAAAAGTGATATTGGATGGAGAACAGGCAAGCAGCTCTTGATGTCTTGCCTGATGACTTTGCCCTGACATGCTTGGACGTGCTGCAGACATTTCCCCCCACAAGCTGTGGCTGAAGTGAAAAGCCCTCTTACCCCTTCAGCAGAAATGCCAGCCAGCACCTCTCCTCCCCCATGCCAGTCTCCACTATCTGTGCCCCGGGTCAATCCATAGGATATGCACAGGGGAATGACACCCTGCCCGGCCTATCTGTTATACTGTGTACATTGTAAGTTTATGTAGTATAGCTATTTCAGATGCATTTCTTCTGTATCCTAGAATCCCCTAGAGGTTATTCTAATATATGATACTGAATACAATCGGCATATGGACTATGATAATGACCTACAAGAGTGTGTAATGTGTTCATTGTTTGGACCCGCGGAAGTGTCTACAGGTTCAACCCAATTAATCTCTATAAAAATTTCAAGCTGACATTGTTGGCCCGCAATTAATTACAGGTCCCGTTAGCTAACCCGTCAAAGTTGGCCCTAACTTTGTGTTGCTACTTGAAGGGGACATTAATAGTTCAATCAGTCCCTTGTGGTCTTAGCTCCTGGCTGCTGCCCCTTGTATCAAACACACTCATCGCACAGCACACGCACACATAAACCAACACACACACACATCATCAAATTGGGGCAATACCCAATCCCACACATTTGTCACATTGCCACGGCTCTTTCAATAACGCCACATCGTCCCCCATAACCCCCAACCTGTGTGTGTCATTGCATGCAGCAAGATGCCTAAACATTATTATGCCACGCCTTTGGGGTCAGGGGCCATATGGTTTTGGATGGGCCAACCACAGACCAGTTTTCTGTTCAGATTAGGTGAGCTGACGTCTACACACTCCCTGTCCACTCTGTGCAAGTCACCTCATGTTTTGATAATGATCAACTATTTTGAGGATCACTATTCTTAGGGCTCGAATAATAATTTGTTCTCGATTATACGCAATTCAGGAAGTGGGTATGGCGGTTGTGCTGATGCAACCTATGAGAATTTTAAGAGAGTAGACTTTTGAAGCTACATGTCTGTAAGGACCTCGTACTCTGGAGATACGTGATACTTGTGTGATGATAGAGGAATTTATATTTGTTTTGAAGGGGTTTCTTTAACCTTTTGATCTCACTAGCACTGGCAAGAATATAACCTCAGACAAGTTCTTTCTCACTAGGCTGAAACCACAGCTCCTTGGTGAGCCACCCTTATACCCCGATAGCCTGTTTGAACAGCGTTTTTTCTCAGTCAACACTCAGTAATGTGGTTTCATTGTGTGTGTTGTGTGGTGGGTGTTGTGTGTGGTGTGTGTGTGTGTGTGTGTGTGTGTGTGGTGTGTGTTGTGTGTGTGTGTGTGTGGTGTGTTGTGGTGTGTGTGTGTTGTGTTGTGGTTCATACTATAGTACTAAAAATCCCCTATTACAGAAAAATGACTTTATATTCAGATGGGTAAAGACTCAGATCCACAGAAATACTTGGTAATGTGGAAATGCAATGGGTAATGCATATGCAGAGAAGTGATAAGCAGTTGGATTTCTAGGTGTGAAACTTGATATGCTGTGACTGATATGCTGTTGTATCTATTACTGGATATCCTCTTCTTATGAATTGTGTAGTGACTGACTGAGAACCCTGACTGAGAACAACATTTCAGAAACTAGAGAGATCCAATGATGACGCTCGGCAATTGAATGATCTAATCTTTCCACCTCTGTAAATCATGCACCAATTGCTTTATGGAAAACGTAGTTGATGTGTATTTTGTAACTATATGTTTTTTCTGATGTCATTTCCACAAGCTGAAATATATCTGCCTTTGCTACATACACTCCTACAGAGAAGTTTTAATGTTCACAGCTCTATCAATCACTCAATGTTCCACATGAACCCCTTCTAGAACAGACACAAGCCTCTGCTCAGGCCTCTCAGCCCCCTGGCCCATTATTGCAAGCCAATATTCCATCTGAACCACATTCACAAACCCTTTATAACCCACTAATTCCAGACCCATATTTTTAGAATGCACTTTCATAGACAAGCACTGTTATCGGTCCAGAATGTCCCTCTACCTATCCCCTGTCCCTGAAAACAGTTTTACATCCTACCTTTCACTTTCACTGAAGCCATACCTTGGCCACCTTAGTGGTTTCCTGTTGCTCCGCGCCCCCCTGGAGACGAGGCCTCCATGGTGCTCCCCCGGACAAGGTTGATGATACCTTCTTCTGGCCACCTTATTGTGTAAATGTCCTCCTTTTTGTGTTTCTGTCCGTTTGTCTCTCTTTTTGTCTTTCTGGGGGGCCCTCAGTGCAATTTACTCCATATTCATCAGGCCCCCTCAAGATCTCTGTCCCCTCTCCTTCAGCTATAATGTCATGGGCTGACTTCTCTCAGCCCACTACTCCTTGGCACCCTGGCCACGCACACATAACACACTCTTCAATGACACACACACATGCCCACCCACAACCCTAAGTATGGGCACTGCTGATAGGGCTGCAGGCTGGGGGAGCTGAAATAGATATATAGAGAGAAGAGAGAGAGAGAGATAGAGATAGAGAGAGAGATGGGGGGGGGGGGGGGGTGTTTTGGGGGGGGGTGGGACAGATATAGATAGAGCGAGCGAGATAAGATAGAGATAGAGAGAGAGAGATAGAGATTTTTTTTTTTTTTGTTGAATTTTATTTTGTTTTATTTTTTTTATATTTTTTTTATTTCTTTTTTTTTTCCATCTCTCTCTCTATATCTCTATCTACTTGCTATCATATATCTATCTATATATATATCTCATTTATCTTCTATACTACTAGAGAGAGAGAGAGAGAGAGATGGGGGGTAGGTGGAAAAGAAGAGGAGGTGGTTAGAGACCTGTGTCTGCTTACACAGTGGAATGCTGGCCTGAGTGAGTGAGAGGAGGGTCTAATTGCACACTTGTCCTGTCAATCAGACAGCGGAGTTGTCAAGGGGTTGTTGATAGCCACTCCAAAAATAAGCCCCTACCTCCAGTGTGTTGTCCATGCACCTCTAAACCTGTGTAGGACTGGAATCTGGAGTATCTAAATGATTTATATCTATGTTCCCAAATGGTGGGTGGGGATCCACTTTTGTAGTGGGTCATGGCTGATTCCTTTGAGGTCGTGACTTAATCAATCAGTCAATCACACATTTGATTATAGCACTTTTTGTGAAATCATTAGTCACAAGGTATTTGTGCTTAGGTCCTGGATAGAAACTGTGATCTGTTCAGGGTCCATATTAGGACAGCCTCAGTTTCAGCAAGAGTTGTACATCTGGTTGACTTTTTGGATCACAAAAACTCAACCACTGACAATTCAGTACTTGTTATTGTGACACTTTCCCTGGGGGTCAGATTACTTTCCTCATGTTTATTTTCCTAAGTATCATAGCAAGAGGTGGACATACAGTACCAGTCAAAAGTTTGGATACACCTACTCATTCAAGGGTTTTTCTAAAATGTTTACTATTTTCCACATTGTAGAATAATAGTGAAGACATCAAAACTATGAAATAACACATTTGGAATCATGCAGTAACCAAAAAAGTGTTAAACAAATCAAAATATATTTTATATTTGAGATTCTTCAAAGTAGCCACCCTTTGCCTTGATGACAGCTTTGCACACTCTTGGCATTCTCTCAACCAGCTTCATGAGGTAGTCACCTGGAATGCATTTCAACTAACAGGTGTGCCATCCTAAAAGTTAATTTGTGAAATTATTTTCCTTCCACAACTGATTGGCATTTGAGCCAATCAGTTGTGTTGTGACCAGGAAGGGTTGGTATACAGAAGATAGCCCTATTTGGTAAAAGACCAAAGTGCAGTTGCAAAAACCATCAAGCGCTATGATGAAACTGGCTCTCATGAGGACCGCCACAGGAAAGGAAGACCCAGAGTTACCTCTGCTGCAGAGGATAAGTTCATTAGAGTTACCAGCTTCAGAAATTGCAGCCCAAATAAATGCTTCATAGAGTTCAAGTAACAGACACATCTCAACATCAACTGTTCAGAGGAGACTGTGTGAATCAGGTGGATGGAGTGCTGCATCAGATGACCTGGCCTCCACAATCACCAGACCTCAACCCAATTGAGATGGTTTGGGATGAGTTGGACAGCAGAGGGAAGCTGAAGCAGCCAACAAGTGCTCAACATAAACTACCGGTAATTTAAAAAATATATATATTTACTATTTTCTACATTGTAGAATAATAGTGAAGACATCAAAACTATGAAATAACACATATGGAATCATGTAGTAACCAAAAAAAGTGTTCAACAAATCAAAATATATTTTATGTTTGAGATTCTTCAAATAGCCACCCTTTGCCTTGATGACAGCTTTGCACACTCTTGGCATTCTCTCAACCAGCTTTACCTGGAATGCTTTTCCAACAGTCTTGAAGTGCTGAGCACTTGTTGGCTGCTTTTCATTCACTCTGCGGTCCGACTCATCCCAAACCATCTCAATTTGGTTGAGGTCGGGGGATGGAGGAGGCCAGGTCATCTGATGCAGCACTCCATCACTCTCCTTCTTGGTAAAATACAGCCCTTATACAGCCTGGAGGTGTGTTGGGTCATTGTCCGGTTGAAAAACAAATGATAGTCCAAACCAGATGGAATGGCGTATCGCTGCAGAATGCTGTGGTAGCCATGCTGGTTAAGTGTGCCTTGAATTCTAAATAAATCACAGATAGAGTCACCTGCAAAGCACCCACACACCATAACACCTCCTCCTCCATGCTTTACGGTGGGAAATACACACGCAGAGATCATCCGTTCACCCACACCGCGTCTCACAAAGACACAGCGGTTGGAACCAAAAATCTCAAATTTGGACTCCAGACCAACGGACACATTTCCACCGGTCTAATGTCCATTGCTCGTGTTTCTTGGCCCAAGCAAGTCTCTTCTTCTTATTGCATTTACATTTTTAGTCATTTAGCAGACACACTTATCCAGAGCGACTTACAGTTAGTGAGTGCATACATAATTTTTTTAAATTTTCATACTGGCCCCCCGTGGGAATCGAACCCACAATCCTGGCGTTGCAAACGCCAGGCTCTACCAACTGAGCTACATCCCTGCCGGCCATTCCCTCCCCTACCCTGGGCCAATTGTGCACCGCCCCATGGGTCTCCCGGTCGCAGCCGGCTACGACAGAGCCTGGATTCGAACCAGGATCTCTAGCGCCACTCGGTGTCCTTTAGTAGGGGTTTCTTTGCAGCAATTCAACCATGAAGGCCTGATTCACACAGTCTCCTCTGAACAGTTGATGTTGAGATGTGTCTGTTACTTGAACACTGTGAAGCATTTATTTGGGCTGCAATTTCTGAGGCTGGTAACTCTAATGAACTTATCCTCTGCAGCAGAGGTAACTCTGGGTCTTCCTTTCCTGTGGCGGTCCTCATGAGAGCCAGTTTCATCATTGCGCTTGATGGTTTTTGTGACTGCACTTGAAGAAACTTTCAAAGTTCTCGACATTTTCCGTATTGACTGACCTTGATGTCTTAAAGTAATGATGGACTGTCGTTTCTCTTTGCTTATTTGAGCTGTTCTTGCCACAATATGGACTTGGTCTTTTACCAAATAGGGCTATCTTCTGTTTACCCCCCCTACCCTGTCACAACACGACAGCTACTGATTGGCTCAAACGCATTAAGAAGGAAAAAATTCCACAAATTAACTTTTAAGAAGGCACACCTGTTAATTGAAATGCATTCCAGGTGACTACCTCATGAAGCTGGTTGAGAGAATGCCAAGAGTGTGCAAAGCCATCATCAAGGCAAAGGGTGGCTACTTTGAAGAATCTCAAATATAAAATATATTTTGATTTGTTTAACACTTTTTTGGTTACTACATGATTCCATATGTGTTATTACATAGTTTTGATGTCTTCACTATTATTCTACAATGTAGAAAATAGAAAAAATAAAGAAAAACCCTTAAATGAGTAGGTGTGTCCAAACTTTTGACTGGTACTGTATATTACATTGTACATGATGGAGGAGCCACTTTGGATTTAATTTGAGATTTAATTCGCAATCTTTTACCTTGCTGTTCTAGCACAGCTGAGAATCTGACGCTGCATTCTTACAAATAACCACTCTTAGCAGAGGAACTGGGATGGTAAGGCCAGCCTTGACAGGATCCTGGCTCTCAGCCCACAAGCCCTCACAGACATCGAAGATACCCTGTCCCAAAGGAAAACTGAACCAAACTAAGAGCAGACAAAGTTAAACAGTTTCTCCAGACACACAGTGTGCAGGATTATAGCTAGTGGACCACAGCTATATTATTTTGTGTCATGATCACAAACCTGTATGATAAGCTTTATGCTTCACACACGCCCCATTCACACCCTTGACCATAATACATTAATCAGAACAATGTGCTGCAGGTATATTCATATAGCATAACGAGGCAGAGGTCTTTACCTAATACCTAATCTAGTGTAAAGTAGATCTCTGTGGCAATGAAAAGCCTTTAAGTCCTTTTGATGGGGATTCAATTATTTTTATCCCCACAGTAGCCCCTATCCATTCAATGCTGTTTTTATCAACAGTGCTGTGTTTGTGTTACCAATGATAGCTTCTCCTTTGGGTGTTGTGTTCAGCAGCTGTCCCCATTGCTCAGATCACTGACTTGAGCCTGGCAGAGGGCAGGCATTATGGAATGTTGTTGTGCATATCACTCCCTCTGCTGATTGGGGTTGGGATTACAGTCTCATGTGGTCTGTTGTCTCTCCCTGTTTCCTAATGTCCTCCCGCTCCATATGCTTCCTATTAGAAGAAGTACAGCTGTTATGATTTTCATCTTTTTTTTAACAGATTGGTCTATATGCAGTTAGTGGGTCTGATGGAAGCGGCAGATAGAGTGAGAGCAGGTGAAAACGGGACAACACTATTTTGCCATTCAGGGATCTGCAAGGGGTGTGAGGGGGTACGTGGGGTAGCAGAGAAAGGATTAGGTCATGTGGACCAGGATGAGTTTGGGGCACTGTGGGTTTGCTGTGATGAGCTGATTAGGGATATACTGATGTAGTCTGCAAGAAACTGAAAGGAAGAAGAAGAGGAAGAGGAAGAGGATCACTTTCATTGGCTAGTGCTGCAAGTCGTCATCGATCGGGAAGTGGTAGACACCACTCTGCAGTGGCTCCAGCAAAGAGGGTCCATATAGAGTGATACCAGAAGAGGCTGGTGGGAGGAGCTATAGGAAGACGGGCTCATTGTAATGGCGGGAATGGAATGAATGGAACAGAGTCAAACATATGGTTTCCATTTGTTTGATGTGTTTGATTCCGTTCCATTAATTCCATTCCAGCCATTATAATGAGTCCGTCCTCCTATAGCTCCTCCCACCAGCCTCCTCTGATTTCTATACTGGTTGTGGTGAAGTTAGGGGGGTTAATCCTGGGTCATGTCCGTATTCTACAACCACCTCTTTTCATTTCTCATTTCTGCCCACTAGAAGCATAGATAGGGATCTCTTGCTTTCCCCAGTCCAGCTTTTCCAATGGTGATGACTCAGGAAAGAAAGAAGATGATGAAAGGAAAGTGCTAGTGCATTGTTCATCTACTAGTTTGTTTACTTACTAGTTTGTTTAACCCAGACCTTGGATGTGGGGACTTTCATTTGCACATGGATTGGGACTATACAGTAGCTACCCTGTGTTTTGTCCTCCTAGAGCCAGTAGTTCTTCAGACAGTGGATCCATGGCAGCTGTCAGGACATGGGGTTTCTCTCAGCCTGCTGCGGAGAGAATACGGTCCCTGATTACCGCTGGACGACATGCTACGGACGCTGTAGAGGACGCCATTGCAGGTTGGCATGAGTTGGCATGGGTGACCCACCGACTACAGTTAAGCAAAGCAGCATCTCTATTTATTATTATTATCTTTTAACATTTTAGTCATTTATCAGACACTCTTATCCTGAGCGACTTACAGTTAGTGCATTCAACTTAAGATAGCTAGGTGGGACAACCACATATCACAGTCATAGTAAGTACATTTTTCCTCAACAAAGTAGCTATCAGCAAAGTCAGAGGTAGTAAGAGGGAAAAGAGTCAAGTGTGAGTGTTAGTTCATGAAAGGGGGGGGGGGGGGGGGGGGGGGGGGGGGGGGGGTTGTGGGATTATTTAAGATACTCTTTGAAGAGGTAGGGTTTCAGATGTTTTTGGAAGATGGGCAGGGACTCTGATGTTCTAGCTTCAGGGGGAAGCTGGTTCCACTATTGGGGTGCCTGGACAGAGAAGAGCTTGGACTGGGCTGAGCGGGAGCTGGGGTGGGAGGGCCAAGAGACCAGAGGTGGTAGAACGCAGTACTCTGGTTTGGGTGTAGGGTTTGAGCAGAGCCTGAAGGTAGGGAGGCGCAGTTCTTCTTGCTGCTCCGTAGGCAAGTGCCATGGTCTTGTAGTGGATGCGAACTTCGACTGGAGCCAGTGCGGAGGATTGAGGTGACATGGGAGAATTTGGGAAGGTTGAACACCAGGCGGGCTGCAGCATTCTGGATAATTTGCAGGGGTTTGATGGCACAAGTGGGGAGCCCAGCCAACAGCGAGTTGCAGTAGTCCAGACGGAAGTTGACAAGTGCCTGGATTTGGACCTGCGCCGCTTCCAGGGTGAGGTAGTGTCGTACTCTACGGGTGTTGTAGAACAGGAACCTGCAGGAGCGAGTCACTGCTTTTATGTTTGCAGAGAGCGACAGAGTGTTGTCCAGGGTCACGCCAAGGTTATTTGCACTCTGGGAGGGGGACACTGTGGAGTTATCAACCGTGATGGAGAGGTCTTGGAGCAGGCGGGCCTTCTTCGGGAGGAAGAGCAGCTCCGTCTTGTCGAGGTTGAGCTTGAGGTGGTGGGCCGACATCCAAGCTCCAGATATCTACCAGGCACATGAGATGCATGTCCCCACCTGGGTGTTAGAAGGGGGGAAGGAGAAAAGTAGTTGAGTTGTCATCCCCATAGCAATGATAGGAGAGACCATGTGAGGATATGACAGAGCCAGTGACTTGGTGTATAGAGAGAAGAGGAGAGGGCCTAGAACTGAGCCCTGGGGGACACCAGTCATGAGAGTATGTGGTGCAGAGACAGATCCTCTCCACGTCATCTGGTAGGAGAGGCCTGCCAGGTAGGATGCAATCCTAAACTGTGCAGAGCCTGAGACACCCAGCCCTGAGAGGGTGGAGAGAAGGATCTGATGGTTCATGGTGTCGAAGGCAGCGGATAGATCTAGGAGGATGAGAACAGAGGAGAGAGAGTCAGCTTTGGCAGTGCAGAGAGCCTCTGTGACACAAAGAGCAGTCTCAGTTGAGTGACCCGTCTTGAAGCCTGACTGGTTAGGGTCAAGAAGATAATTCTGAGAGAGATAGCGAGAGAGTTGGTCAGAGACAGCACGCTCAAGTGCTTTGTAAAGAAAATAAAGAAGGGAGTTTTTGTAGTTTTTGACATCAGCAGGGTCGAGTGTTGGTTTCTTGAGAAGGGGAGCGACTCGGGCCATTTTGAAGTCAGAGGGGATGCAGCCAGTGGTCAGGGATGAGTTGATGAGGGAAGTGAGGAATGGGAGAAGGTCTCCAGAGATGGTCTGGAAAGGGAGGAGGGGATGGGGTCGAGCGGGCAGGTTGTTGAGCGGCCGGACCTCACTAGTTGCAGCATTTCATGTGGAGAGAGAGGGGAGAAAGAGGTCAAGGCGTAGGGTAGTTCTGTGTGAGTGGGACCAGTGGATTCAATAGGCTGAATGAATGAGGAGTGGATGTCGTCAACCTTCTTTTCAAAGTGGTTGACAAAGTAATCTGTAGAGAGGGAGAAGAGAGGGGTGGAGGATTAAGGAGGGAGGAGAAGATGGAAAATATTTTCCTAGGGAGGCAGAAGCTTGAAATGTAGAGTGATAGAGAGTGGCTTTAGCAGCAGATACAGAGGAAGATAAGGTAGAGAGGAGGGAGTGAAAGGATGATAGGTCCTCCGGAAGTTTAGCTCTCCCTTATTTTCACTCAGCCGCCCGCAGCCCTGCTCTGTAAGCTCGCAATAAGTCACTCAGCCACAGAGCAGAAGGGGAGGATGGAGCCGGCCAGGAAGAAAGTGGACAGTGCGAGTCATAGGATGCGGAAAGGGAGGATAGTAGGGTTGAAGAGGCAGAATCAGGAGACAGGAGGGAGAAGGATTTAGAAGAAGGAAGAGATGATAGGATAGAAGAGGAGAGAGTAGCGGGAGAGAGAGAGCGAAGATTGCGACGGCGCATGACTATCTGGGTAGGGGCAAACAGCCTCTAATAAAGATGAGGTCAAGCATATTGCCTGCCTTGTGAGTGTGAGGGGACTGGGAAAGGGTGAGGTCAAAAGAGGCAAGGAAGGGAAGAAAGAGTTGGAAATAAATTAATCAAAGTCGGACGTCGGGAGGTTGAAGTCACCCAGTACGAATAGCGGTGAGCCATCGTCAGGAAATTAGCTTATCAAGGTGTCAAACTCATTGAGGAACTCTCTATGGTGGGCGATAGATTAAAACAATGTTAAGCTTGACTGGACAAGTGACAGTGACAGCATGGAATTCAAATGAGGAGATGGACAGGTGAGTGAGGGAGAAAATAGAAAATCTCCACTTCGGAGAAATGAGCAGCCCTGTGCCACCACCGCAAAGACCAGGTGCTCTCGGACTATGAGAAAAAAAGGTTGTCAGATAAAGACAGAGCAGTTGGAGTAGCAGCGTTCTCTGGGGTGATACATGTCTCTGTCAGGGCCAGAAAGTCTAAGGACTGAAGGGCAGCATAGGCTGAGATGAACTCAGCGTTCTTGACCGCAGATCGGCAGTTCCAAGCGCTGCTGGTGTTGGCAGGGTACACTAAAGGGTTGCAGCCAAGTGGTGGGGAGCGCCTGTAAAGCCAACAGGGAGAGGGGTGAACTGGGATAGAAAACACACATATAGTTGCCAAAGCTAAAAAATAGCAAAATGAGATCATCTGAAAATAACTAAGTAAGATACTAAAGTGAGAGAGTGGTGTGGAACTTTACTCTTTCCTTCCTCGAATAACTCAGCAGAACCATCTTTGTTTCGGCAACGGTCTTAGTTTTGATAACAAGACCACCGCTGACACAAAACCACAACAGTCACAAATTGCCCTGCCCCTTAATCCTGATGTGTCAACAATCATCTGCAAGTTATGAGCAGTCAGCAGTGGTCTAAGGCACTGCATCTCAGTGCTTGAGGCGTCACTACAGACCCCCTGGTTCGATTCCAGGCTGTATCACAACCGGCCGTGATTGGGAGTCCCATAGGGCGGCGCACAATTGGCCCAGCGTCTTCCGGGTTTGGCCGGTGTAGGCCGTCATTGTAAATAAGAATTTGTTCTTAACTGACTTGCCTAGTTAAATAAAGGTCAAATAGATAAATAAATAAACACACCAAGTAGGCTACTGGGAAGACAGCCAGCATTTTAAAGTAGATGGTCCTAGCTAGCAAAAAGACAGTACTAGACAACAACAGATTAAGTAAAAAAATCTGGAGTACTCTAGCTATAGAATGAAGCATTATGATACTCTTGTGTTTCTTCCAGAGGTTGAAGATGACCCAGAGACTGGGCATCACATTGTGGAGAGGGGAGGATTCCCTAACAGTGGGGGAGTGGTGGAGTGTGATGCTGCCATCATGGAGGGCATCGCCGGCAGGTTCGGGGCAATCGCAGCACTACGATGGTGAGAGAACCACCTGCTGAAACCACTGCCATGGGAAAGAGATGTCTGTGAAAATAAATACTCATAGGGAAACCCATTGATAAATGTACTGTCTGTACGGTATAAAACTATGATTTCCAGGGTTGGACAGAAACCCCCACAGACTGCTGGTTGGGGATGGAGCAGCAGCTTTCGCCAGGGAGCAAGGCTTTACTATAGAGCCCAATGACAACATGCTGAGTGCACAGTCAGCCAAGGCTTACTAGGTACCAATACTCCATGGGGGAAAATGGCATGGATAACTATTTTAAATATAAAAGACAGATATTGGTAAACTAAAATTTTAACTCATAGTTGCAGGACTTTCTGGAACAGAAGCAAAGTGTCAGTGGACATGACTGAAACTTGCTTTTTAAACATTTGTATTTATCATGTTTTCCTGCTCATTGTAGAACATTGAGTGACAGTAGAACACGTAGCTATCAGATGAGTTGGGTTGAATGCGGAAGACACATTTCAGTTGAATGCATTCAGTTGTACAACTGACTAAGTATCCCCCTTTCCCTTTCCTTTATTGTAACATAACTGAAAACAACTGATAATGTATGACTGATACTTGTGCAGTAAATTGTTTGGTCCTCTAGGGGGAGTCCTAATCCATATAATCAAATTAGTCTGGGTTGTCTATTACATAATTTATTGGTCCTGTTCCGACATCACCTGTTTTGATCTGGAATCTCCTTATAATAGTCTTGATTCCCCCATCTCCAATATGAATGTTTCTCATCTCGATTAAATAACTCCACTTTCCCTTTTTTCCATAATTTTGATTACTGACCATTCCTGCAAGGCAAGTTGGTACAATACATCTGTGGACCCAGGTCTAAAAGTGCAGGTTACATATTTATTAGCACATCTAACACCTTCTCATCTTCCCTATCTCAACAGGACTTATAGTGAAAGTTAGACAACATGGGGAACATAACTGTTCGTGAGGAAATTGGTGTCTTCTGTTTGTTTTAGTTTTTTGCTCTTTCTTCCTTATTATGCAAGGGTGTTTTCACATATAGTCCTCTTTAAAGGAACCGATATCAGTCCTCTTTAAAGTGAACTCTGGGGTAAAAAAAAAAGCTAATGAACCCAGTTCTCTTTGTATTCACACTGCCCTTGCCTTTGAATGAGGACTCAACTATTTTGCCAGTTCACTTCAACTACTTTGTGGACTGAGACCTCTTTGCCTTTGAATGAGGACTCAACTCTTTTGCCAGTTCACTTCAACTACTTTGTGGACTGAGTCCTCTTTGCATTCACATTGCTATGTTTAGAAAGGAACCAAGATCTTTTTCCAACATGCACTCTGGGTTATTACAAAGTGCAGGACAAGCCATTCAATCAGAATGTGTAATCGGAGAGGTAGATATACCTACTTACATTTTGGAAACTAATAGATTGCATTTAGTTAAAATATGACACATAATAATTGTAATCAGAAGATACTATTAATATGTAGATTTGTTTGGTAACAGAATAAATAGCAATAGAATAACTGCAGAATAAATAATGCTGTAATTGAAAATTGCACACCCAAGGTAGGTTAGTGCCTCTTGAAGCTCTCTTAGCCTATAGATCACATATTGCAAACAAATAATCTGAACTAAAAACTCCACACATTTTGGAATTTCTGTGCGTCCTTGACAATCGCTAATCAATATACAAAAACAGCACACATTTATTTCTGCGAACCTGCACATCGTCATCTTCTCTCTTTTGTGGCACCAATGTGAGGGTTTATGGAAGGGGAAACGCTGTTGCAGTAGTCTAGTGTGTGGTGCGGGAATAATGACAAGCGAACCTGGGGAGCTTTGCGTTCACATTGTCCTAAAAAAGGGAACCGGATCACGGAATTCAAGCGAACCGAACTCAGACCACCTCTGGAGATTGTCTCAGTTCGCTTCGCTTCGGGGGCTCTTTTGAGTGGTCTGAGTTCCTTTGGAGTGTTCACTCTGCACAAAAAATTAAGCGAACAGCATTGAGTTCACAAAAATTGGCTGAAAGGGACCAAGTGTGAAAACCAGTGGAGGCTGTTGAGGGGAGGACGACTCATAATAATGGCTGGAACGGAGTTAATGGAATGCCATTCCACTCATTCCGCTCCAGCCATTACCACGAGCCCATCCTCCCCAATTAAGGTGCTATGAACCTCCTGTGGTGAAAACACCCTAAAAGACATTCATTGACTATTAATTTTCCAAATCTAGAGATACTTCCACAGTAGCTACAGTATGAGGTCAGGTTGTAATATTATCATTCAGCTGATTTGCTCATGTCCTATTTTTCAGGAGTTTTTACTTCAGGTGCCCCCTTAAAATCACCAGGGAGGGTGGGAGACTCGCCCCTGTCGGGCTGTGGCCTATACACTGAACACATGGCAAGTTTACAGCTACCAAAATGAACTCAGTCAAAGAACTGCACACACTGATGAACTTTTTCCCCTCAGTGTTTTAGTAGTCTTTTCTGGATAGTTGTGTTATGTGACATACTACATAATTAATTCATGTTACTGCATGTTTGTTGATCCTACAAAGACTGAATGAAGGTTTATGTAACGTTTGAATACATTATTGTAATGTTAATGTAAACAGTCTATTTAAACCAGTACAATATTCAATGGACAAGTGGGGCAAGTAAAGTGAATGTAGAATTGTTGGGGACACACACACACACACACATTTTTTGGCCTTATTCCAAAAACCTAGAAACAGTCTCTCTTTGACCTGGATACTATCGCCTGGGAGTGGAGGAAATAATCTTTACACTTTTTTTATTTATTTTTTTACACACCCATGTCTCTGTACCAGTACGCTTGAGGGAATCTTATTCATAGACAATTCACCACACACCACAGTTTAGCATCTTATGATCAATAAGAAAACACTAGAGCAAAGGAAACGAATGTTGAATTGAAAGAGATGTGAATATTAAAACAGACTTGTTGTTTTTCAGGTGGGGGCCACTGAAGGTACAGTATGTGAACTATATATATATTTTTTGTTGTTGTTGCATGCTCAAATATGCTTGACATTATACTTTCATAAGGATTCTTCTCTTATCAGCCACAGGTAATGGTGATCAAATAATGTGTCATTGCCAAAGCTTTTATGCAGTTCAACTGATGAAACAGGCAGTGTTATCAGATTATCAAGCCATAAATCATTTTACGTTGTCAACCTTATACTGAGTCAGGTGTAGGTTTGATGTGCCCTGTGGTTAAGATGTTTGAGCAGCCACACTGTCCCTTGAAATCTATCCAGCTATAATTCACACAGCATTAGCCTGCCTGGAACTTGACCTCCCCCTTACCTCAATTGACTCCCTGTCTCTCCCTCAGGAGTCATCATCCAACGAGGCCTGTCACGCTGTCCTGGATGACATCATCAGGAGGACTGCCCCAGACAGGTGCTTTGAGATTGGACTCATCGCCCTGAACGCGATGGTGTCTTTTCTACTCTTATATTATAGAAATTGAGTGGTCATTGCTATATACAGTGCAGTCAGGAAGTATTCAGACCCCTTAACTTTTTCCACATTTTGTTACGTTGCAGCCTAATTCTAAAATGGATGAAATCGTTTTTTTCCATCATCAATCTACACACAATACCCCATAATGACAAAGCAAAAACTGATTTTTTGACATTTTTGCAAATGTATTAAAACTTAAAAATGGAAATATCACATTTATATAAGTATTCAGACCCTTTACTCAGTACTTTGTTGAAGGACCTTTGGCAGCGATTATAGCCTCGAGTCTTCTTGGGTATGACGCTACAAGTTTGGCACACCTGTATTTGGGGAGTTTCTACCATTCTTCTCTGCAGATCCTCTCAAGCTCTGTCAGGTTGAATGGGGAGCGTCGCTGCACAGCTATTTTCAGGTCTCTCCAGAAATGTTCGATCAGGTTCAAGTCCGGGCTCTGGCTGGGCCACTCAAGGACATTCAGAGACTTGTCATGAAGCCACTCCTGCGTTGTCCTGGCTGTGTGCTTAGGGTCGTTGTCCTGTTGGAAGGTGAACCTTCGCCCCAGTCTGAGGTCCTGAGCGCTCTGGAGCAGGTTTTCATCAAGGATCTCTCTGTACTTTGCTCCGTTCATCTTTCCCTCAATCCTGACTAGTCTCCCAGTCCCTGCCGCTGAAAAACATCCCCACAGCATGATGCTGCCACCACCATGCTTCACCGTAGGGATGGTGCCAGGTTTACTCCAGACGTGATGCTTGGCATTCAGGCCAAAGAGTTCAATCTTGGTTTCATCAGACCAGAGAATCTTGTTTCTCAAGATCTGAGAGTCCTTTAGGTGCCTTTTGGCAAACTCCAAGCGGGCTGTCATGTGCCTTTTACTGAGGAGTGGCTTCCGTGTGGCCACTCTACCATAAAGGCCTGATTGGTGGAGTGCTGCAGAGATGGTTGTCCTTCTGGAAGGTTCTCCCATCTCCACAGAGGAACTCTGGAGCTCTGTCAGAGTGTCCATCGGTTTCTTGGTCACCTCCCTGACCAAGGACCTTCTTCCCCGATTGCTCAGTTTGGCTGGGCGGACAGCTCTAGGAAGTGTCTTGGTGGTTCCAAACTTCTTCCATTTAAGAATTATGGAAGCCACTGTGTTCTTGGGGATCTTCAATGCTGCAGACATTTTTTGGTATGCTTCCCCCGATCTGTGCCTCGACACAATCCTGTCTCGGAGCTCTAGGGACAATTCCTTTGACATGCACTTCTTCTTCTTCTTCTTCTTCTTCTTCTTCTTCTTCTTCTTCTTCTTCTTCTCAGAGGTTTATTGGCAGACTACAATCATAAGGTGTATTGCCGCCACCTACTGTACAGGACAGTAAAAATGTTTTGGGGATGAACAAATCATGCTAATTACCTAAAAGTAAATAAACATGAACCAAATTTACGCTACTATCCTGAATTTAAAACAAAATCGGTACTATTCAGATCCCTACACAGGCTCAGGAATCTCGGAGGGGGGAACCGCTTCATTCAGCACTCATTTCGTCTGTTGAGTCCTGGAGATCCAGAAATCTATTTGCCGCCTTCACAATGATGTCTAGCTTCTTAGATTTTTTATTATTTTGACTAGTCCAATTTATCACTTGCGCTATAAACACAACAAAGTCCACCTTCTTCACTATTAGTATGTTCGGGATCCTTCTCCTGCATGGCATTCACTACAGACTGTGGGACATCCACTACCATCTCCTCTCTACTTACTCCTTCAGTTATTTTCACTACCTCCACATAGGAGACCTGCTGGATGGCCCTGATCCTAGCCACTGCGATCTCCTTCATCCGTACAGGGCACTCCGGGAACGTGATTCCAATCACAATTACAACAACATGCTTCATCTGACACTTCAACAACTATAAATGTATTTCTTCGACAAACACTTGACACGTGTCAAAACTTAACAATTGTAACACTGCAACGGCTTCTTTACATACGGTCTCACCGCATATCTCACATACCCAAGTTTTGCATAAGTTGGGAGAACCACTTCACCAAACGACAGTAAAACCGATAGGCTTTGCTCCTTCCTTCCGTCTATCATTTGATTCAATCGACGTGCGTCTACCACTCCTGGAATGTTATCCCTAAACCACACAGCCTCTATGTCCAATAAAACACCATTACTCTGAAAATCATAGCTTTCCACATCATACGTCGAGATCTTGTTGAGCCACAGAGCTATTTCCCTTTGCACTGTTGACACACACAAAATCAGCATCATACTGCTCCTGGTCACTCAAACCGATTCCACTTTACCCAATTTGTCCTTCACCATCTTTGAGACCGCAAACGGGTCACCCAAAAAAACATCCTTGCTCGTGGATCGCACTCCAACCATAAACTGCTGTTCATTTCCAACTTTAGTCCTTTTCACGCCACTCTTCTTCACCATCGTCCACTCATTCTCACCAACTGTAATCGCGCCAAGAGAATCACACAATACTTCCGCTTCCGCCGTTGCTCCTCCAGCCATCCCCCGGACTCCCTCACTCTTTGCTGTAAAAGATGCAAGAGTTTGTGTTCTCGAAGTAGCACCCATATTGTTCTCATTCCAGCACAGCTGTTGCTTCACCAACTTTTTCTCCATTTCATCCACACTCCTCGCTGCCATTTCCCTTCCTGACCATGTCCTGACATGCACTGTCAACTGTGGGACCTTATGTAGACACGTGTGTGCCTTTCCAAATCATGTCCAATCAATTGAATTTACCACAGGTGGACTCCAATCAAGTTGTAGAAACGTCTCAAGGATGATCAATGGAAAAAGGATGCACCTGAGCTCAATTTCGAGTCTCATAGCAAAGGGTCTGAATACTTATGTAAATAAGGTATTTCTGTTTTGTCATTATGAGGTATTGTGTGTAGATTGATGAGGGAAAATGTTAATTTAATCAATTTTATAATAAGGCTGTAACGTAACAAAATGTGGAAAAGTCAAGGGGTCTGAATACTTTCCGAATGCACTAAGAGCTTTACATTAAGTGGCAAACAAGCCAGCTTGGGTCTTTCTGTCTCCTCGACTCCCTAACACTAGATTGAAACCTGTCCTCTGTCCTTTCAGTGGAGTTTCCCTAAACATTCTGGAACCAGGGGAATTATTCTTTGGAAACAAGTACTCAGCTTCCACATTCCACAGTAACAGAGGGCACAGAAAAATGTGACACACATGTACAGTGAAAGAAAGGTTGTCATTGTTATCAGTGATGCCTTGAATTGTATTGATAGTATCAGTAAAAGATAATTAAACTATTGTATGCTTACTATATATAAGGGTCTAATAGTGCTGTCTGAAAATATATTTTGAAGTAGGCCTACACACAGGTATGAAAATGACGTTATAATGGTATGTAGCAGACACCTTTTTCCTCCCCAATCTATGGTATGGAAGTTTCTAGCTTTAGCCTACTTGTGTTGAAATGTTGAACTCCTTTCACATGCATGGTTTATGTTATTGACTAACTGTAACTGGCACAATCATAATTTCATACTCGCGTCCTCGCTCATCTCTCCTTGCCTCCTTCTCAAAACCCATTGGATGAGAAAGCCAGATCTCTCCTCCAATGGCTTTTGAGAAGGAGTCGAGGAGCTAACCTTTGATGATATCATATGATCTGATGTGGCTTGTCCCCAGGCGAAGGAGATGGGACTGTATGGAAGGGAGTTTAGTCCAACGGTACTTATTCCTGTAAATCCACCATGGCTACTCCCACCTCCAGTAGTTGATCTAGAAGTGATGGAGAGACTACAGAAAGATAGGGAGGGTGTTGATCCATCTGATTTCTTTGAGAGACGTCCGGAAACTGTGTATCAGGATTTTGTGGCCATTTACACAGATGGTTCAAAAGGTCCAAGGACAGGACGTACTGGGTCAGCATTTGTAGTGCAGGAATGTGGGGTGGAAGTCAGGAAACGTATTACAGATCATCTGGCTGTATATACGGCAGAGCTGATGGCCATACAGTTGGCCTTGCAGTGGGTGGAGGAAGTCAAACAAGACAGAGTAGTTATTTGCTCTGATTCATGTGCAGTGTTAATGAGTCTCCAATCCTTTAGCTCACGTAGCAGACAAGACCTACTTTATCAGGTGCTACAAACCCATGGCAGGATTAAACAGATGGGTATACAGATAAGATTTACTTGGGTCCCAGCCCATGTGGGGGTGGAGGGGAACGAGGCAGTAGATGAACAGGCTAAACAAGCACTTAGTAGTGGGGATGTTGATGTTGAAGAATCAATGAGCAAGGCAGAGGCAAAAAGACTGATATATACAGTGATGGTGCAGAGATGGCAGGAGCAGTGGAATAGATATAATAAGGGAAGGCATTTATTTCAAGTACAGAGGAAAGTCGGGGAGGGGAGGACTGCAGGAAGGGACAGAAGAGAGGAGGCTATTTTTACGAGATTAAGGGTGGGATACAGCCAGTTGAATAAGACATTAAATGTGATAGGAAAGCATCCAACAGGAAAGTGTGATTATTGTCAGGAAACAGAGACCGTGGAGCATGTATTGCTACAGTGTGGGCAATATCAGAGGGAAACAGAGAGGATGAGATCTAGTATGAGGGAGAAGGGGATACAGGAAATTAATTTAAACAGTATATTGAGTAGAACGTCATTATATATAGTCTCAAATATTTTGTTATCTTTTTTAAGCGCAACGGGGCTGGCAGGTAGGATGTAGTTTCTCCCTGTCGCTGGCCCACACTCCAGTACAGTAGGTGGCGGTAATGCACCATAACGTTGGATGCCAACCGCCGATAAACCCCACTGAAGAAGAAGAAGTAGAAGCTGTGGCAGGTCAATTTCATGAGGGAACTGGACTGTGCCTTCAGTTCATTAAGCCATCGTTACGTTCTATCCACCAGTGGTGGTGGTGGTTGTTGTGGTCATTCATTTACTCATCCAAAACACGATCATGGTCTTACATTTTGAGAAAGTAATGACATAGAGGATTTTTTTTTTCTTTTACTGATCTCATAATTAATTTAATAAAATATGACAGGCTTAATTTAGATGTGATTAGGTATGATTAAGCCATATGGAGAGCAATTGATTTCCCCAGTGCAGACTGAAATTCACGCCAACATTTTGCCACGTTTCACTAATGACGTAATCTTTCCTTAGCTTTGACAACAAGCAGAAGGGGCAACGAGCTGTTCAAACGTAGACCAACCTAGTTGCCTACATTGTCAGTAGGGTACTGTAGTCATATTATTCACGGCAGAACATACTCAATTTTCGACGATCCTTTAGGAACAAACTACGATTCCGAAAATCGCTAAACTCGCTGTAAGGCTTCTCTGTTTGTGGAGTTGCTATTTCTTGGTCGGTACTAGCAGCCATTTTGGGGTTCAGACAACTAACCTGGTTTTGGAGGAGTACCTTGCCAGCTAGTTAGTTAACTTAGCTAGCTACTTTTTTATCAAAGGAATTAGCTAGCTAAGTATTTATTTCAATTTTTCAGAGCGAAAGGGGGTGTCGTTTAATAAGAAGAGGGGATTTCTGTGACGAGTCCACGATGAATCCCGAATAGTAAGTAGCTAACGTTAGCTGTTCTGCTAGCTAGCCAGCTAACGTTAGCTGACCAACTGTCAAATACGTGCAAGCTAGCTAACTACCATTGTCACCGTGTTGTTTATTGAGGGCATATTAACGTTTCACACAGGTTAATCAATGTCATTACATGTTTGTTGTTTACAGCCAGTTAGTAGTTGTGAGTTTGCTAGCAAGTTGCTAAGTAGTCTTTACCATAGCTAACTATTCTTCAAAAATATTAGCTAGGAAACGTTACCTAGCAAGCCAGCCTACGTAACGTTAACTAACAACGTTAATCAGTGAACGATAACTGCTGTTGTCAAAGGGGAGAGTATTTTGGTTGGTAACTACTACTTACCTTTTTACTTAACATATTCAAGCTAGTAGTCTGACAATACAACGCACGTCTGCTAACGTTACATGTCATGAGATATGTGGTCCTCTGTAGCTCAGCTGGTAGAGCGCTTGTAACGCCAAGGTAGTGGGTTCGATTCCCGGGACCACCCATACACAAAAAAAAATGTATGCACGCATGACTGTAAGTCGCTTTGTATAAAAGCGTCTGCTAAATGGCATATTATATTATTATTATATGTTATGATTATCGTTAGCTAGATAGCTAAGTAACGTTAGCCATGCAAGTCATGATGGGAGTGTGTAACCTTACTGCAGCCTTTGTGCGCTTGTGGTCAATAATTAATGTAACTACCTTGCCTTTTCCATGACATTCAGTGAATTTGGCCCTCAAGTGGAAAACAACTAAGCAAGAGGACAGTCAGTGCCACCCCCGCTCTACATCTTGAGTCAGTCATGTGTAGGTCACGAGCATGCCTGCCATATGCCATGCCTCTCAACACATTCATTGGGTTGTTGGGCAATTCATGGTTTGTGTCTACTACTACCATCCCTCCATTCAGGTTGGCAAGTACCTGATTACTGTAGATTAGGCCTATAGGTTTCGTTTTTGTGATACATCTTTTGTATTTTAGCTCAGTTTAAATTATTGATTTCTCATCTATTCAACAGTCCCACTGGCATGACTGAACATCTGATTTGAAATGGGCGGCGGGTAGCTTAGTGGTTAAGAGCGTTGTGCCAGTAACCGAAAGGTCGCTGGTTCTAATCCCCGAGCCGACTAGGTGGAAAATCTGTTGATGTGCCCTTGAGCAAGGCACTTAACCCTAATTGCTCCTGTAAGTCGCTCTGGATAAGAGCGTCTGCTAAATGACTTAAAATGTAAATGTCTTCACAAGATTAAATTCTGATTACACAATATAGTGCATATGACTGCATTGCAAGGGTAGCCCTTTCCTTCCTTTTTTAGACAGGCACACTATAATATTGCCTCCATTTTTATAGTCAGTATAAAATCAGTTTCCATTTCAGTTATTTATTTGAAACCTCAAGGGGTATGTTATTAATTGTAACTCAGTTGTTCTTGAACTCTTAAACTGAGTATGATGTGTGTAGCATCAAATACAATTTTATTGGTCACATACACATTTAGCAGGTGTTGTTGCGGATGTAGCAAAATGCTTGTGTTCCTAGCTCCAACAGTGCAGTAGTATTCTCTGTGTATATCAATTATGTCGCTCTTGCTGCTGGTGACTCTCAGATCCACCTCTACGCAGACGACACCATTTTGTATACATCTGGCCCTTCACTGGACACTGTGTTAACAAACCTCCAAACGAGCTTCAATGCCATACAACACTCCTTCCGTGGCCTCCAACTGCTCTTAAACGCTAGTAAAACTAAATGCATGCTCTTCAATCGAACGCTGCTTGCACCCGCCCGCCTGACTAGAATCACTACTCTCGGCAGGTCTGACTTAGAATATGTGGACAACTACAAATACCTAGGTGTGTGGTTAGACTGTGAACTCTCCTTCCAGACTCACATTAAGCATCTCCAATCCAAAGTTAAATCTAGAATCGGCTTCCTATTTCGCAACAAAGCCTCCTTCACTCATGCTGCTAAACATGCCCTCGTAAAACTGACTATCCTACCGATCCCTGACTTTGGCGATGTCATTTACAAAATAGCTTCCAACACTCTACTCAGACTACATCCAATTTGCTATCACAGTGCCATCTGTTTTGTCACCAAAGCCCCATATACTACCCACCATTGTGACCTGTACGCTCTCGTTGACTGGCCCTCACTACATATTCGTCGCCAAACCCACTGGCTCCAGGTTATCTATAAATCACTTCTAGGCAAATCCCCGCCTTATCTTAGATCATTGGTCACCATAGGAACACCCACCCGTAGTATGCATTCCAGCAGGTATATCTCACTGGTCATCCCCAAAGCCAACACCTCCTTTGGCCGCCATTCCTTCCAGTTCTCTGCTGCAAATGACTGGAACGAACTGCAAAAATCTCTGAAGCTGGAGACACTTATCTCCCTCACTAACTTTAAGCATCAGTTGTCAGAGCAGCTTACCGATCACTGCACCTGTACACAGCCCATCTGTAATTAGCCCACCCAACTACCTCATCTCCATATTGTTATTTACATTGTTATTTATTTTGCTCATTTGCACCCCAGTATCTCTATTTGCACATCATCTTCTGCACATCTATCACTCCAGTGTTAATACTAAATTGTAATTATTTTGCACTATGGCCTATTTATTGCCTTACCTCCATAACTTACTACATTTGCACACACTGTATCAAGATTTTCTATTGTGTTATTGACTGTACGTTTTGTTTATTCCATATGTAACTCTGTTGTTTTTATCGCACTGCTTTGCTTTATCTTGGCCAGGTCGCAGTTGTAAATGAGAACTTGTTCTCAACTGGCATACCTGGTTAAATAAAGGTTAAATAAATAAAATAAAAATGTACATAGGGCAGCAGCCTCTAAGGTGCATGGTTGAGTAACCAGGTGGTAGCCGGCTATAATGGCTATTTAACAGTCTGAAGGCCTTGAGATAGAAGCGGTTTTTCAGTCCCTCAGTCCCAGCTTTGATGCACCTGTACTGACCTCGCCTTCTGGATGATAGCGGGGTGAACAGGCCGTGGCTCGGGTGGTTGATGTTCTTGATGATATTTTTAGCCTTCCTGTGACTTCGGGTACTGTAGGTGTCCTGGAGGGCAGGCAGTGTGCCCCCGGTGATACTTTGGGCAGACTCTGGAGAGCCCTGCGGTTGCGGGCATATGTGGTTTCCAGTTTGTACAAAGTCCAGTGTAGTTCCTTGAGGGCCGTTGTGGTATCGGCTTGAGGGGGAATATACACGGCTGTGACTATAACCAAAGAGAATTCTCTTGGGAGGTAATACGGTCGACATTTGATTGAGATTTTCTAGGTCGGGTGAACAAAGGACTTTAGTTCCTGTACATTATCACAATCACACCATGAGTACCTAATCATGAAAGATACAACTAGGCTACAGTTGTATGTTCCTGTCTGCGCGATGTACTGGGAACCTAGCTGTATGGATGGGGACAGTATATCTGGAGAGAGCCATGATTCTGCAAAACATTATGTTACAGGCCCTGATGTCTCTCTGGAAGGAGATCCTCTCCCTGAGCCGTCTACTTTATTGTCCAGGGACTGAACATTAGAGAGTAAAATACTCTGTAGCGGTGGATGGTGTGCACTCCCCCTGAGTCGGACTAGAAGTCCACTCCGCCGGCAGTGTCTTGGAGCAGCCTCTGGGCTAAGCCCAATTACCCTGGGGGGTACGAACAAAGGATCCAATTCGGGAAAGTCGTATTTCTGGTCGTAATGCTGGTGAGTTACCACGGCTCTGATATCCAAAAGTTATTTCCGGCTGTATGGAATCTGGGCTAATAATGTAACAAATAACACACAAAAAAAACACAATTCTGCAAAGTTGCTTAGGAGCTAGAAGCCGAGCTGCCATGTCTGTCAGCGCCATATTCACCCTTGTTGGCATGCTATGTTTGAAGTTCCACTCATTAACTTACACCTGGACAATGGACATCGCATAGGCCTATCTTATGTATTGTCTTGGCTAATCCATCAACAATTACCCCAGCCCACCCAAGCACTTTTGCTTTGGTATGACAATAACTAACTACCAGAGAGATATCATTGCCTAGCAGAGGTCATTTCCACTCTCACACTATTGCCCCCAGCCCTTACACCTCCTTCAGTCCTCTCAAGAGGTAGGGTACTTATCTATCCATCCCCACACTGCTTCCATGGACTCAAATGCACCTGGTGAACCCGGCAAACTGTCTTTGGGCTTCTCTGAGTTCCCAGTTACTAGCCTAAAGATTTCTTTGCGGTCCCAGTTGCTAGCCTGCAGAAAACATAGGCTACATTTGTGTTTTTGCAGAGCACTTGCTTTAGGCCTATCCTTTGCCTAACCCAAGCTCTAGTTTATCGCATCTGCTGGAGCTGAGCTGCTGATCCACAGACTGTTAGGGCCTGGCTGACACACTGACTCGCATTGACCCTCATTGACCTCTGTAGTAATGAGGAAAGGGAACCTCAGGTCTGATCTAAACCCTGCTTTTCCTCGACACCTCTTGTCTTATTAGACTGCCCTCCCTGAGGAGAGACCGAGACAGGAATGCTAAAAGTGCAGTATTTGATTCTGTGGCATTTGTAGAATTTTGTGATTGAATGCCATGGAGTGTGTTTGCATGTGTTAGAGGTGTGGGTGTTTTTTTTAAAGGAGTTTTAAAGTCAAATGTCATGTGAAAGTCATAATGATGGGCAGTATCATGTGTTTGGTGTGTCTGTGTGTTTGCAGCATACAAAGTATAATTCAATCCAACTTAAAACATAAACAATGACTGTGATAGAGGAGTGGGATGGACAGTTTTTTGCTGTAGGCTATTCTCCCTCTCTCTTGCATGACCAGTCAGCGGTACTACTAGCCTTTCATAGGGACTGTCATTATTGTCCTCAACCATCTGCTTAATGAAGAGGGCATGACTGGATTTCATTACAATGGGAAAGGAAAGGGACAGGGAGGCAGGAAACAGGCCTGCCTCAGAGCTTCTTAGCCTTGGGGCTGGGTCAGGTTCTTCCAAGCCTACCTTCCTTCCTTTGACTGTACTACTGGAGAGACTGGAGGAGGGTCCGAGCTGAAGTCCAGCTGCATTCCCCTCTACTGTGGAATGCTTAATCAGCTTACAGGAGTTTCCATATCTTTTTCTGTGTAGCCTAGTTGTATGGCACAGCACGTCTATGTTAAATAAACAACACTGCATACAGAGTGGAGGGGGTTGAGAGAGAGGGAGAGCTCTCTGTGTGTGAGTGTGCCTCGGTCAGAGCTGAACATGAGTGGACAATAGCTGTAGCTTATAGTTTGCGAGAGATTTATTTTGCTGGTCTGACCTATTTTGATAGGGAAGCATTAGTATAGCCTAATTCACACGGTTGAGAGTGGGACAGGATGCTCAGCATTTTGTTGTCCTCATGCATCGATCCTAATGGTGTTTCTTCTCATATAAATGAGCATAGCATGAATTGGTGTATTTAAGTAAGCATCAGTGGAGCAAGGAATGGTGTTTTAGAAGTTAGGCCTATTGTTTCTTTTTGCAAGATTAGTGTTTGGCAAGCTCATGCAGTTGCTATGCTGTTGTAGTACAGGGTTAAAAGCCTATTCGACATGAGGACCAGTTAGTCATGTTTGTGTGAGTGTGTGTCTACGCGTTTTGTGTATCTCATAACTGATCAAGGTTAGCAGCACTCTGAAATCTGAGCTGATGAACTACAGGGAGCTTTGGCAAACTCTGAACAACAACATTAATTGTCTGAGCTCAATTAAAGTAGGCTTCTTGGTGAAGTCAGGCACAGGCCTACTAAGTTGGTAGTGTATTCCGTTTAACATACTACGCTGTTGTCAGTCACAGTGCAGTCTTTACCTCTTAAAATGTCCTTGTGAGTGTGTATCACATGAGAACTGAAACATTGACCTCCCCAACTGACCTTTATGTGATTTTGCTGATCATGCACAGCTCAGTATTGTGAGGTTTAATTTCATTTGCTTGTAAAACCACATAAGCTGCTGAAATCACTACTTTTCTGTACCAATAAGTATGGAAGTTTGTGTTGCTGTGTGTTTGGACTTGAATTGGCCTGGTTTCAACTTGTGTGTTATTGTCTATAAATGGGTTGGTGTGAAAGAGCTTTTTAGGTATTATGCAAGCGTCATAAGACATCAGACACATCCTCGCTGCTGATTGTGTGGTGGTGAGACAAAAATAGTTATCCTAAGCATTTGCCCAACGCAGCATCTTGCCCAACGCACTGAAAGCAATAGGCCTAACAGCAATGGCATCTTGGAATTGTCTGAAGCATGATCACAATTAGATCTCTTCTGGTGAGACGGTGAAGTGTGAAGAAACTGTTCTGTCTGAGGAAGCAATCAAAGCTAATTAGGTCTGTCCCCGAAAAAAATTAAAATATTGGTCGACCAGGAGTCTTCTGTTCTTTCGACCAATCAATTGGTCAACGTGTATTTTTCAATATATAGACAAACTATATGCACTGAGCTTGTCTGATTCTTTAAGCTTGTTTTGTCTGATTTCATAGGGCAACAGATAATCTTCCATTTGGGACTTATTTTATTGTACTGATCAACATTTGCATAAAGTAGCTTATTTTAACCAGTAATGATATCATTCAAGAGGCAAGAAGGGTGCAGCCCCTAGGAGCCCTATTCTCTCTCTCTCTCTCTCTCACACACACACACACACACACACACTGACTGTTTGCTGAGTCAATAGATCATCTTTGGCTAATGGAGAGACGTAATGAGAGACAGATTACTTCAGGGGTCTTCAACCATTTCTTGCCCAGGGACCCCCTCACAGGCAAACTGGGGACCCAGGGACCCTCATCATGTCTTATCATCAGGGGAATTATAATGGCAAGGAGAAGTAATCAACATTTTTGTATTATCTTGACATCCCCACATTATAATTGGAAGAGTCTATTAGCTAGAAAGACAGCCTATTCGCGGGCGCTTTTTCAAAGCCTATGACAGATACTCCAGTGAGTGTAAGTGGCTCAATATTAGGAGTTGAGAAATAAAATCATTAGAAAGATATTCTCCTCTCTTCTACTGTAGGTATGTAATTCAACGTTATTTAATTATGTTGCTAGCGATATTCATAGAAATAAAAAAGATACAAATGTCACTGTTTTGCAAGGGGTCACCTTGTAGTACCTCGGGGTCTGCGGACCCCCGGATGAATACCCCTGGATTAAGTGAATTAATAAAGTTTTGGTGGCAATCAGCTTTGAAATCAGCATATTTTGTGTTATGGTATCACAAACAAAGTACTAGGGTAGTGAATTGATGTTCGCTGTAAGCTAGGAAGGAAAGTTAGCCTACAAAGCTAGAAGTTACCGTTATGTTCTAGCATTGTAAAGTGTTCTAACCTATATTGACATTGTTTTGTTAAGTTTCAACATTTTTACATGTGTAGCATTATTTAAGTGTGTTAACGTCTGTGCAGCATGAGTGCAGCCCAGACTCCCAGTTCAGGCTAGCAATGAGTAAGTGGAGCAGGCACGGTACGTGTCTCGCACTCACAGACGGGCCTAGATAAGTGGCGATGGGAGTAGGGTGGCGGGTGGAAGAACGCAAGCAGTTTTGCAAGCGGTGCTGTTCGTGGTGCCCGTGAGCGCCAAAAGATGAAATTTGAAGTCATGAGCGGCCACCACACATGGTTCACCAGTGAGCATCGTTCATCTTGTCAACCAATCAATTTTAATGACTGCATTCGAGCTGACAACAACCGGGACCACTGGTCTCTCTATACACGGTAGGCAGATTTTCTCTGATAGAGTTGATCTGTGAGACACATTTTGACAGAAGTACCAAAAGTAACAAAAAAAGGTTTGAGTATCAAACCGTTTTTCATGTTCTAGTATCGAAAAGGTACAGAAGTTTCAGTATACCGTGCAACACTAATCAGAACATGACGTTTTTCTCTTTCACGCCGAGGCTTGGTGGTTATCGAAAGGAAGAGAGCTGGGAAGATTTTAAATACATTGAGAAACTAATGTCACTCTCAATGGATGTAAAAACAGACTGTTTACTTGCTGTTTGAGGTGAAGAAAAAATTACTTTGAGAAGCTCCACTGCTCATTAGTGTAGTTAAGACAATCAGAAATACTATCAGACATCCCCAAATGGGAACATTTATACATTTACGTGCAGACCAGGTAGCCTAGGCTTACTTCTATGTGTAATCAGGTGCGCGTCCTTATTCAACAATGACAGGAGCAGCGCTCCAAACAAAAGCCAGCGAATAAATTGACAACTTGTAAATGGAATGAAATGAACCAAAACTTGTTTCTCAAGTGTCACATAGGTTGTGTCACAATGTGTCCACTCCGACAATGAGAATGTAAATTACTGTTACTGAACAAACGATAGGCATTAATGGTAAATGTACTACTGGTGATTAGGGCAGGGAATTGCCAGGGACCTCACAATACGATATCACAATACTTTGGTGCCGTAACGATATGTATTGCGATTCGATACTGTGATTTTGTGATTCAATGTTCCAAACATATTGCTTATCATATGTCAGAGGGACAAGAGAGAGCCATGAGAAAACACGTTTTGATCAGTCATGGAAATAAGTGTTTTAAATTATACCCAGGATGCATTATCTTCAAACATACTGTAGTCCTAAGGAATACTCTCAAACGGTGTCAGGTCAAAGCAGTAGCCATTTATGGAAAACCAATGCAATTTCGAAATTAATTAAATTTAACTTATTTGATCAATTTTATCAAATTGCTTGGTGTGCCAAGGCAAATACCCTCACGGCACGCGTGCCTTATGTTGCAAATGCCTGTTTAAGAGTGATGGCCTGTGCCATCCCTCCTGCCTCCGCAATGGATTCGTCCACTGAGACGGGCGCGAATCAGACCTGTGTCTCGTGTGCCATGAAATAAAATATATTTGCGACCGCTCATCTAAAAAAATCTGTCAACCAACAGCCTATCGACCAAACAATTGACCAGTCGACTAAATGGGGTCAGCCCTAAAGCTAATGCTGTCTTCCGAGTTTAGAGTCCCAAGCTTGACAAGGCTATGCTTTTGTTGAAACTGTGGGAAATCTGGAATCCTGTTGTTTTAAAACACTTTACTCCTCTCTTCACAGTGACTATTTATTCAAGCTGCTCCTGATCGGTGACTCTGGTGTCGGAAAGTCATGTCTTCTACTCCGATTCGCAGTAAGTGTCCTGTTGATTTGTCCATGTCCCATAAGTGTCTCATAGCCATTCATAAATTGCTCGCACTAATCACTCATTAGCTGTTCATAGGCTGAACTAGTCATATTAATAATGTCATATTAGTGCACTGCTTGGAGTAAATTCAGCATGTAAGAACTGGATGCCCTGTAATGCGAACCAGTTTCAATCAATCATAGGAATAGTATTCAAATTATATATTAATACTTATGTATGTTAATTTTACTTATCTTGTTTACTCTCCTATTGCGGTGAATGATCATACTTTTGATTTGTTTTTTCTCTTGACTGAGAATGTATGAAAGGATTTGTACTTTGAGCAGGATGTGAGTGCTTGTTCCCTCACCGACTCCTCTCCCCTCTCTCCCCAGGATGACACATACACAGAAAGCTACATAAGCACAATCGGAGTGGACTTCAAAATACGAACTATAGAATTAGATGGAAAGACCATTAAACTTCAAATCGTAAGTGCTTCCCCGCCACATCTTTGTTTTTCTAAAATGGAAAGGGATACGCCAAGCTATACTGACAAGGACCTAACAAGTATGCCTTTCTGCATCTGGCCACATTTGTACCATGGAATTTCTGGAAAAATGCCATTGTAGGCATTCCTAAACAGAACCTAACTCTAAGATTGTTCATCAAATATCCCAAGGCAGAGGCCTCCTACATTATTAAGACTCATGGTTGACTATAACATTGTGAATTATCGATTAGAAATTCCCTTCTCTCATCTGTTTGAGGTGCTTGCGTGTGTTGGTCTTATTTGTCACAGTTGGTGAATGTGCGATGAAGCAGCATCAATTTGCAGGGTTGTCCGCGGGTCCTTAGTCTTAAAATATTTAATTAATTTATCTAAATTAAAGGCTTTAAAATGTCTTAAATGTTCTTAAATTCAGTTTTCAATGGTCTTAATAAATGCGACCAGAGATGACTACAGTGTTTCTACTATGTTGTGCAGCTGCTTAATTGTTGCCACCACGGCAAAATCGGATGAAAAAAATGTAGATCCAATTATAGCCTACTCCTACCGAGGCGCATTTTCAAGATGCTAGAGAGCTCCAAATGTAGCCTACGACTCTGTATGCGCGTGTGCCACTACAAGTTGGCAGTGGCTAGATGAGCGAGCGCAGCGAGTAAGGTAGGCTACAAAATAGATTGCTTGCAGCTTGGCTAGTTAGCTCACTCGTTAGCTAGCTAGTTAACTATTCAGATATTATATGATTTGGTCAAACAGTAAAGTTAATTCTCTTCATAAAACCTGCAATGAAAGTGTCTGCCCTGCCCATGTGCCTGTTTCTCTGTGGCCTGTTGCAGTGATAATGAGTGAGGCACGTTTTACTGCCTTTCCCACTGCACTCCTGTAGAAAAAAAAAATAGTAATCTGATTCTAGCTGTAAGAAAAAAACAGCTATCCTGTGTAATACTCAGGGCCTAAAATTAAGACCCATCACCTGCCAAACGTGGGTAGATTTTGGCATTGTTGGGTAAGAATGTCTAATTCACCAGCCACGTTGCTGCATGGTAACACTCAGGGCTCTACAGTGTGAGCATTTCATAAAAATAGTAAAGTATGGCCACCAGTGCTAGTTTTGATTTTATAGCGAAATATTTGCTGCAGTAGCTGTTTTCAAAGTATTTCTGCCGTTTTGTTTCATATCTGGTAATGCACAAAGAAATCTGAATCATAACGTTATAGCTATCCCACCTTGCGCAGCAACATTACCTGTCTGGGGGGCTGTGAGTGCTGAAAGATTAGTTTTTAGAAGCAATGGGCACAGACATCAAACTTGGTCTAATATCTCGGAAGTCTACTAAAGTGAGACATTGTCCTCATGTTTCTTAGCCATTTACATTGTTTTGTTCAAAGCTAGGTTGCTTTTCAATTTTTTAGTTAACTCCCACTGCTAGCAAAAAGAGACATTGTTGGCCTGAACTAGTGACATTCTAACAGGCACACATGACTCAAGTGGCCATGTTACCAAAGTAACCTTAAAGGGGCAGCTAAATATTTTTGTCTGATATTTTTGTTAAAATACTCAGGTCACAGAATATGACATTAAATCGAGCAGTATACCACATTACTTCTTACTAGTAATACATTTCTTGTTTTAGAAACATAACTAAGCATGCCCATCTGTTTGTTTTGTGTTGGCAACAACAAAAAATGTGGTCTGGAAAAAATTGTGGTGGCTGGTAGATTTATTTAATCTACCTGCCACAGCGGCTGGTATACAGAAAAGTTAGTTTTAGGCCCTGGTAATACTTGTCACAATTGAACAGTTGAAGAGAGGATGTTCTCAGCTTTGTGCAGGTATATATATTTTTTCTCAGCTGTCTGTTTTACAACTGAGATATTAATATGGATTTGAGATACGGAGCGCGCGAAATGAGCATTGGCCATTGCGAGCGGATTGGGCATTAGGCTATGACCGCAACGTTTTTGTTAGGACAATAATGACTTTACTGTTCAATTAAAACATGGCTACTTCCAGTGACAATTATATTTAGAGGTAGTGATCTAGCTAATGTGTTTTGAGTTTCCACTTACCCAGCTGGTGAATTGCACCAAATATATTAGTCTGTTAGCCTACCAGACAAGCTAAATTACTTCTATGCTCGCTTCAAGGCAAGTAACACTGAAACATGCATGAGAGCATCAGCTGTTCCGGACCACTGTGTGATCACGCTCTCCGTAGCCGATGTGAGTAAGATCTTTAAACAGGTCAACATTCACAAGACGGTTTACCAGGACGTGTACTCCGAGCATGCGCTGACCAACTGGCAAGTGTCTTCACTGACATTTTCAACCTCTCCCTGTCTGAGTCTGTAATACCAACATGTTTCAAGCAGACCACCATAGTCCCTGTGCCCAAGAACACTAAGGTAACCTGCCTAAATGACTTCCGACCCGTAGCACTCACATGTAGCCATGAAGTGCTTTGAAAGGCTGGTCATGGCTCACATCAACACCATTATCCCAGAAACCCTAGACCCACTCCAATTTGCATACCGCCCCAACAGATCCACAAATGATGCAATCTCTATTGCGCTCCACACTGCCCTTTCACACCTGGACAGAAGGAACACCTATGTGAGAATGCTATTCATTGACTACAGCTCAGCGTTCAACACCATAGTGCCATCAATGCTCATCACTAAGCTAAGGACCCTGGGACTAAACACCTCCCTCTGCAACTGGATCCTGGACTTCCTGACGGGCCGCCCCCAGGTGGTAAGGGTAGGTAACAACACATCCGCCACGCCGATCCTCAACACGGGGGCCCCTCAGGGGTGCGTGCTCAGTCCCCTCCTGTACTCCCTGTTCACTCATGACTGCATGGCCAGGCACGACTCCAACGGCATTATTGAGTTTGCCGATGACACAGCGGTGGTGGGCCTGATCACCGACAACGACGAGACAGCCTATGGGGAGGTGGTCAGAGACCTGGCCATGTGGTGCCAGGACAACAACCTCTCCCTCAACGTGATCAAGACAAAGGAGATGATTGTGGACTACAGGAAAAAGAGGAGGACTGAGCACGCCCCATTCTCATCAACTGGGCTGTAGTGGAGCAGGTTGAGAGCTTCAAGTTCCTTGGTGTCCACATCACCAACAAACTAACATGGTCCAAGCACACCAAGACAGTCGTGAAGAGGGCACGACAAAACCTATTCCCCCTAAGGAGACTGAAAAGATTTGGCATGGGTCCTCAGATCCTCAAAAGGTTCTACAGCTGCACCATCGAGAGCATCCTGACTGGTTGCATCACTGCCTGGTATGGCAACTGCTCGGCCGCAAGGCACTACAGGGGGTAGTGCGTACAGCCCAGTACATCACTGGGGCCAAGCTTCCTGCCATCCAGGACCTCTATACCAGGCGGTGTCAGAGGAAGGCCCTAATAATTGTCAGAGACTCCAGCCACCTTAGTCATAGACTGTTCTCTCTGCTACCGTACGGCAAGCTGTACCGGAGCGTCAAGTCTAGGTCCAAGAGGCTTCTAAACAGCTTACACCCCCAAGCCCCAAGACTCCTGAACATGTAATGAAATGGCTACCCAGACTATTTGCATTGCCCCACCCCCCCCACCCCCACCCCCACGCTGCTGCTACTCTCTGTTTATTATCTATGCATAGTCACTTTAATAACTCTACCTACATGTACATATTGCCTCAATTACCTTGACTAACCGGTGCCCCCCCACATTGACTTGGTACCGGTACCCCCTGTATATAGCCTTGCTATTGTTATTTATACTGCTGCGCTTTAATTATTTCATACTTTTATTTCGTATTTTATTGTGATTTTTTTTGTTGGTGTTCTTTCTTAACTGCATTGTTGGTTAAGGGCTTGTAATTAAGCATTTTACTGTAAGGTCTACACCTGTTGTATTCGGCGCATGTGACAAATAACATTTGATTTGATTTTAGTGCACATAAAGATGTAGGCAAATTCATCTCTATTTAACCGCAAATATTGAGTCCTATTTTTGTAAACTATAACAACAATGGCCTAATTGTCAAATTCATGACAATAACTGGATTAGGTTGCAGTGCACATCAAAATATATTGAATCATGCATTCCTGCGTAGATTAAACAAGTTATTTGAATACCATCTCAGTAGTCTATTGCACTTCTTTATTAAAGCACTGTGAATGCCATTAGAAATATGGGGAAATTAGCAGGTTTGTGGCGCACGCAGACCGCAAAATTATTAAATTGCATTTCAAGTGGAATTAAAAAGGTATTTTATAAAGTCTTAAGTTCAACTTGATGGAACCTGCAGGTACCCTGTATTTGGCGGAGTGTGTGTGTAGCAGCATCTATTTGGCAGAAAGAGAAAGGGCATGCGTGTGTTTGGCCGTCTCGTATTTATGACAGTGACTGAATATCTCTGCTGTGTATTGACGCTGACAGTGGGACACGGCGGGACAGGAGAGGTTTCGCACGATCACATCCAGCTACTACAGAGGAGCCCACGGCATCATCGTAGTCTACGACGTCACAGACCAGGTCAGTCTGTCTCTTTAGCACAGACAATCTTTACCTTTTCACTGTGTTTGGGTTTTCTGGCTTCTTTTCCAGAATTGAAAGTCAGGAGTGCAGGTGAATTAGTACTTTGAAAGACTTACTTCACAAATATCTTGCCTACCCTGACATGTTGGTTTTGATTATCTTTCTTCTTCTAGGAGTCCTTCAACAATGTAAAGCAGTGGCTACAGGAAATCGACCGCTACGCCAGTGAAAATGTCAACAAGCTATTGGTGGGGAACAAGTGTGACCTGACCACAAAGAAAGTGGTGGATTACACAACAGCAAAGGTAAGGGCTTCCAACCAAGACAATGGGTTATCAGATGGAGCAGGAGTAATGCATTTTTTCCAATTAACTCTTTGAAAAAATGGTGTAGAGCTGTGGTTACCAAACTTTCAAATTGAGATTTTGTTGAGGCCCCCAAACATTCAAAATGGTTTTGGACACAATCGGGTCTCTGCAACCCAGTAGTAAAATAGTAGTAGTAATAGTTTACAGTCCTGTCATGAATGCAGCAGCAGCTCCCCTAACCCTCTCTCGCCATTCCTTTCTCTGCAGGAGTTTGCAGACTCCCTGGGCATCCCGTTCTTAGAAACGAGTGCCAAGAGCGCCACCAATGTGGAGCAGGCCTTCATGACCATGGCTGCTGAGATCAAGAAGAGGATGGGCCCCGGGGCCACGAACGGAGGCAACGAGAAGTCCAATGTCAAGATCCAGAGTACGCCTGTCAAACCTGACTCGGGGTCCTGCTGCTGAGCGAGAACCCCACCAACACCTCTACCCCCACCTCAAGCACCCCACTCTGGCCTGTCAGCCCCCTCCACCTGGCCCCATTCTTCACCATGCCCTACCTACCTAGCCTAACAGTAACCGAGAGAGGGAGAGTCCGATAGAGATTGTGTGTCAGATGGACAGCCCCTCACTGGCCCCCTCCTGGAGAGGCTTTACCCTTCCCCGGACCTCCTCAGAGACAACTGATTTCGTTTGCCCCCGCAGTTAACGCCCCCCCGTTGTGTGCAGGTTTATGAGAATAATGTGTCTGTGTATCTCACTGCATTCCTACTTCAGGGTTGGTCTGTGGTCAAATTCAATTCTATTTTTTGTTCTTCTGTCCCCCTCTTTTTTTTTTTTTTCTTCGCTTTTGTTTCCTGTTGGTTGTTTTGCTGTTTGTATCAGCATGTCTCTCTTTAAGGTGTTTATTCGCCAATATGCGTGTCAGCCAACTGCACAAGTCTCACTGTCTCACGAAAAAGTACTGAAAAATGTGTATGTATGATCTGATTTGCTAGTTCTTTAGACTTCATTACTTAATCTCTGAATTAAATTTGTGGCTGCTCAACATGTCCGATTTAAACAAAAATAATAAATATTGTACTTCCAGACTGTATGATACAAAGATCTGTCTGTGATTCTTGGTGGAATATGTAGAAAATTTGTTTTATTTGTTCTACATTTATGGCAAATATTGCACCAGTAATTTAATATTGGTTTGCAAATTGGCCATTACCTGTGGAATATTTCTGTTCAGAATTGCATATATAAAACACTAGGTTCTTTTTTCATAATAAAGGCAACTGAATACAGTTTTAAAAGAACTCTGTTCCCATTTCTCTAGCACTGTTTACCTAGTTTGGTGTGTTTGCTATATGGATAAGTGTGTAGATTTGTTTTATAGTATAAGGTCAGAACAGAATGCCTATGTATCACATTCTCATGAGACCCCCCCACACATTCCCACCCCCAGTACACCAACTGCTCATTTCAGACACTTTCTAAGGAAAAGGTCAGAGATTTACAGTTCCTTGGATCTTACAATATGCCAGGCCACATTTAAGGTTTGTAACTACAGTATTTTCACTGACCTGGCCTCCATTGAGCTGCTCCATAAGCAGCTGAAGTGTGACCTGATTTCCAGTAGACCCAACTCAGCAGAATTTTATAGTTGAGGAAATACTGTCCCATGAATCTGGGGCCTGTAGACAGCCTATTTCAGATGACTCTGCTTTTAGAGCAAAAACTCATTATTATCCTTGAGCTCTACACTGCAACTGATTATACATAAAATGAAGTAGCCATATAATAGGTTTGTTTAATCAGAAGGAGCAATGTGTAGTTTCACCAGGTTTATTCTGTGAATGAGGATAAGTCTGAAAAAGTTTTCCATGGTGTTTAAAAGTTAACATTCCCAATTGATTACTACAGTAACAAAGACGCTAGTTAAAAACATGTTGCACATTAAAAACGCTGTAGTTATGTCTGAGCACTCTATTCAATCAGATCTGCTTTAGCCGACAGCAGTGGAGGTGGAACTGCGTTAGAGCTGTCCAATCCACAAGCAGCTCCTGGCATTATACCTAAAGCGGACATTGCCATTGGCTGCACCGAGTCTCATTAAGAGAAATCCCATGCAGCCTTGTTTACATTTTAGAACACTGGAATTTGAGATCCAATCTACAACCCGATTCGGCTGATAGAAATCCTCATTATTTAGTTTAATGATTTTCAATTTGAGCATAATTATTTCTATATAGCCTACACTTTCTCATTCTGAACTTCTAACGTGAGTGGGAGGGGTGTGGCTTTGTGACAATGATCAGTGGTCCTCTGTAGCTCAGCTGGTAGAGCACGGCGCTTGTAACACCAGGGTAGTGGGTTCGATCCCCGGGACCACCCATACACAAAAATGTATGCACGCATGACTGTAAGTCGCTTTGGATAAAAGCGTCTGCTAAATGACATATTATATTATTATATCAAGAGCAGCTGCTCACCAATTTGACAGCTTCAACACAGTTACACCGCCAAAACATCAGGTATGCGGGTGTCGACTATTGCCGGTTAATGCTTGATCTGATTGAATTTAGGCACTTTTCATCCAGGTTTCCCATGCATACAAAAAGTACCAAACTCATAAAAACATGGGACCTCCAAACTGTGCTGTTGTCTCAGGCTGGTGATTATCAGTGACCATATCTTGCACATAGCTGCCATCTGATCAAGGAGTTTAGATGTAGGCCTCTGATTTCAAATACAACTCTAAGGGCACTGAATGGTTCATCATCCTATATTACCAGTCTACATATACAGCATCAACAAGTGCAGACCTTCCCTTCTGGACCTTCACTCAAGGAAAAAGACTCAACATTATGTACCAGAGACAGGTGATGACACAACCTGAGACCATGATCAACTGGCTGATGAATTCTCCCTGAAAAAGACTTGCTAGAAAATATTGCAGTGCTCTACCCAGTGTACTAAATCCACAGCACGTTTAGTGAAGACACTAAAATGACACAGAGCGATATCAAAATAGGTTAACAATAATGTTACGTGTGTAGCATGTAACAGAGTGAGTTGCAAGAAGAGTGCACTGGGTCGTTATAACTGTAACAAAGAAATGATTAGACATCTGCCTGAGCATATATCACAAGGCAAATAATACTTAGCTTCTTCAGCACACATTATGCATACATTTAAAAAGCACTTAAAAAAAGATTGAAACAAAAGCATGACAACAGTCAAGTGGTTCTCTTTTCAACACAACCAGGTCATTTCCTTTAAGGAATGTTACAGTGAAGAAGCTCCTCCCCCTCATCATGCCTGCTCCACCAATCCGCTCTCATTCTTCATCACTGAAAAGGATAATAATTACTTATGATAAATAATAAAACTGATAGCCCGAAACTAGACGGTGCTATAGAGTAATCATAGCCCCATCTCTACGTAACCACAGAAACATACTATCCATATCTTGCATGGAGCCTTCACTGAGCTGTCCCCTGGACCACCCTATCGGGGTCCCCAGCTCCGGTCTCCTCTGCCCCGCTGGGCTCCCTGGGCTGGGTCAGGCTGTCCATGGCCGAGAGGATAGAGGAGAAGAGGTGCTCTGAGTGGGTCTCCAACGCCCTTGACTGCCTCTCAATAAGACCAAGCGTCTCTTTCAGAACTGGGTGACATAAGAAGCGGAAGAGAGAGAGGGGGGAGAGTAGTATAGAGATATAAATAAAAAGAGGAAGAGGAAATAAAAGAGAAATGGGAAACTTTAGTGGTACATTTGTACAATCAACCCACTAAGATTCCTTCCTGTTTGCCTGTGACACAGTTTGGAATGAGAGAGGAAAAAAACAGAGCCCCAACACAGCTCTCTCTAGTCATGGATGCATGGCCGCATTCTCCTCACACAGCGTTTCCTCTTTCGGTCAGAGGAGAGTACTGTTGGTATAGAATTACCCCTGACTGCCAGACCTCTACAGTATGCAAGTGTTAGCTGTTGAACTGACCCGTATGAGACCTGAAACAAATAGACAAGCTCGCCACTGTTAGCAGACAATAAATGTTACCCTTGGATCAAGGTAGCATTCACACAAACATGTAAGCTAATCATGTAATGTAATTTGAATTTGGAGCCCTTTAAAAACACAGGCAACGCCCACATCAAGAATCTCATATGTTGCTGTGTCACGCAATTAATTTTACTCTTCCTTTAGTAAAGGAGCACAAGCATATTTCAGCATTCACAAAGGGAAATAGAGTACAGGGGGGTGTTGGCCTCATCGTCTTCTTTCAGTAAAACACTTCCACACCCTTTACTATGAAGAAGTCTGGTCTGACAGGCTGATCTGCTTGAGGGGTCATTCCTGTGTGAAGGAAGCCTCATTTGTCTGTCCTAATAATCAGGGTGGGTGACACCTGACATACAGTAGGTACCAATGAAATAGCTGCAGGCAAAGAGAAACTAGTCAGTGATGGAAAGCTCACCGGGAGAAGTGGAGGTCATACAACCCAGGAGAAGCTCTCCAGTCTGCAGAACAGAGGTGGTCAGAGGCTGGTGGGCGTTTACTTCTCTCTGAAACCTCTGTGGAGGGAGAGGCAGGGGAACGAGAGAGAGGGATTGGGGTGAAGGAGACAAAGGGGAAAACAGAGGGAGTGGGGAGAAAGAGGCAAATAGAGAAAGAAAGACAGCAAAAGAGAGAAAGGGGCAGAGGGGGGTGATTAATTATAAGGCACTTCCCATTCTCCCAAGATACAATGCCAAGCGTTATCACCTTTGAACAAGGACGTGTATTGTACAACCACAGACTTACATTTAGAATTGATTTATAGGATCTCTGTGCGTACATACTGACCTTATAATCCGCCAGTGACGACTTGACACTCTCGATGTCCACAGTGGGTGGAGCCAGCACCTCCATCCTCTCCACCACAGTGTACAGCCATTGGATGAGATCCTCCAGGTTAGAACAGAAGGTCTGATGGGTAAACAGGTTGCCAGTCGCAGAATTAATTTCAAACTGCACCACAACCGTTTGTTACTGGATTTGGATGTAATAATATTTAATAGAGATGAGACCTATGTACTGTGCATATATTATGCAATATACCATTATCAACACATTGCATTGATTGTGTAATGTGTATTGTATTTCATTGTGTTGTGAGGTACTGTATCATATTGCATTGTACTGGTAGCAGTGGCACACCCTCGTCATTATATTGCACATAATAAAGCAATACCTTTAGCTCTCTGTCCTTACCTGGATGTGCTGCATGAGGGACTCCCTGTGCTCCTGGTCCCCCTGGCTCCCCCTCTGGAACTCAGGCAGGGTTAGTCCACTCAACTGGTCCACCATGGCCTCCACCTCTCTCAGACTGGCCCTGCTCACTCCCCTGCCTGCTACCCCAGCCTCCATCCTAGAACCAGAGCTTCTGGCTGCCTGGGAGGACTCCCCACTATGGACCACTTTAGAGACTAAAAGTGTTTAAAGTCAAACACATGCTAAGTTGAGAAATATTACAAATACAATTTTTAAAAAGCCTAATGAAATGCTGCCACCAACACATACCTTTATTAAAGTATTGAAGTGCTTCAGAAATGGACACCTCTTTCTGCTTCTCCTCCTCATCACCCTCCCTTTCTTCCTCCTCATTCTGCTCCTGCTCTTTTCTCTCCTCCTCTGCCTCCTGTTTCTCAGCCAGGGTCATGGAGGACTGGACAGAGGTGGTCCCCCTCTCCAGGGACTCCCAGCTGGCTGTGACAGGCTGGTTGAGTTGGGCCGTTACCTCCCTGACCTGCCGGGACAAACCCTGGAGCTCCTCCAACTGCTCCGGGAGAGGCCAGAACTCCTCATCCCAAGCCCCCCCTCCGAGGCACCCTGGCTGGGGAAGGATACTGGTGGTGCGGATGAACGTGGTGGAAGAGGAGGAGGAGATGCCGTGTTGGCGGTAGCGACCTTCCCAGCTACGATGCAAAGGATTTAGACCACCACCTCCACTACAGTCCAGACTCTCCACGGATAGACCAAGAGGGTCCGCAGAGGAGAAGGGGCTACTGGAGAGTCGACCATCAGAGGACTTGGGGTGTGAGAGCCCATGCAACTCAGATGACCTCTGACCTATACCCAGCATCCCCCTCTCCCTGGCCCTACCTGTCCCCGCCGTGCCCCTCAGGGAAAAGTCCAAAGCTGACAGGCTGGTGGAGCTGCAGAGGCGGTCCAGTTCTATTCCCGAGTCCTGGAGGCCTGGTTCTGTCTGGATGAGAGGCCCACCCCCTGCATCTGAGGTATCCCACCCACCCACCACCCTACCTGGCCTCAGGGGGTAGGTGTAGTCCAGGAGGGCTTGGTACTCCTTATCAGGGTCCCAGCTCGAAGAGCGTCGGTCTGGGGAGGGGGGTAGGGAGCTGGGAATGGCGCAGGCCCAGTAGTTGGCCTGGTGGGGGGACATGGTGTGGAGCGCAGGGTTGGAGCGTCCCTTGGAGTAGCCCACTGAAGGGCCTACGTTTAGATACGTTTCCCTTCCTCCTCCATGTGATTGACAAACTTCACCTGCATCCACTCTCAGCTCTGTCCGTCTCTGTCTGGACGGGCGCGAAGGGGGGATGTAGGAGGGCGAGAGGGGGGATAGCAGAGTGGAGGTCCACTTGGGGCTGAGTGGAGTAGAGATGGTATGGCCCTCCAGGGGTGGGCTGGAGAGGCTGCGTCGGCCGGGCCTGCTGCCCAGGTACGATGAGCTGAAGGTGGGTTCTTCATGTGACAGCCAGGTCCTGAGGTCTGACATCCCCAGGGAGGTGCTGAGGTCCTCTCTGGAGGCTGAGCAGGGTGTGATGTTGGCCTGAGAGGGGTTGCGGTTGTCTGGGAACTTCTGTTCAGCCCATCTGGTCTGGAACTCGCTATGATGGTGTGCTTCATTACTGCTACCTTCCCACTGTCGCTCCTATGGTGAAAGAATAGGGAAGGAATAGGACATTAGGTAGAGCTAACATACAATGTGGTGTTCATTGCTGTTATTTGTACAGTAGTAGTAGAATTAGTTTAAAATGTGCAGTCAAAGGTAATCTAAATCTAACGTTGTTGTAATACTTGTCATAAGTCATACAATAGTAGCAGTCAATGCATTTGTTAGAAAGCTTACGCACTCCCATCTCACCTTTTCTGGGTGCTCCTGTAGGTATGATTTCTTTAGGATGGAGGTCTGCTGCTCTGTAGTGGTGACCAGCGGTTTCCTCATAGAGTACTGCCTCCTGTCACTCATATACCTGGAAGTGGGTGCCATGGTAACACTCTTCCTGGGACCACCCCGGTCCCTGTCCCCTGTCCCCCTCTCCCTGTCTTTGTCTTTGTCTTTGTCTTTGGAATGCTGCGTTGTGGTTGTCCCCGTCCCAATCCTGATAGACTCTGGAATCCGGGTCTTCCATTGCCCACTGCAGCCCTTGGACTCCATCGAACAGACGGATGCTGGGAAGGCCCTGTCAACTCCCAGTGCCATGGTTACGGGGAGAGGCCCAGAGATGCATCATGTGTCCAAGGCGGCTGCTGAAATTGACAGCAAAATATACATTTCAGTCTGTAAACAGTTGTTGAGATGTAAACCAAAGACACTTGTGCTTTACTACTGGTACCACTATCTGTTGTGTGGTCAGGGTTGGTAGCACAGATAAGAGGAGGAAGAACACTGCCCTTTGTCCACTTCTGCAGTATACCTTATATTAGCATAGCTACAACCAAACAGACCAGCCATATAAACACAAACATTTAGCATCCATCCAGCTAGAGCCGTCAGTCAAGTAATGCTGAAATAACATATGTAAACCATAATCTTATCTGTATTCGTCACGAAGTTGAATAGCTCTCATAAGCTCGATTATATTTAAATGATAGTGAGATTCCATCCTGGACTCATTGTGAACCAAAATTATTGTAAATACAATTTCAAAACAGACAGCCAATGCTCTTTGTGTGTCTGGGGTGTTGCGCTCCCTCTAGCATCCTCCCTGCCGGTTTGAGTATGTCTTGTTGACAATTTCCACGATAACGGAAATTACGCTGACTCAGAATTTTCCCTTAAAAAATGTATACCAAACCAAAACCATTGTTTTCAAAACCAAGTTTAACAAACCATACGACTCTATGCACAAGGGCTACTTTGAACAATTTACACAGACAATTTAACAAAAACACATTTATTGGAAGAACTTTGCAGATGCAAAGTACGGTAACAGAATGACGGTAAAATCTCCCTCCGTTTTTATGCGACCACGTTTTCCAAAAACTCTTAAATGTCTACTCCGAATTAAGATTCAAAAGGTGTCTGCAGAAAGAATGGGGTGTCAGCTATGACATGACATCTTGAGTTTAAAAAAATATATTTTGGTTATTGAACTACAGTAAGTGAAGTGGATTTACACCCGGTAACAAAATTACGGTAACGGAATTACATCATGGGTCCCTGATCTGTACTACACAGAAATGCATAATTATGGATATGAATGTCACTTTCTTCATGGTGATGTACCCTGAATAGGTACACAAAGGTAGAAATAGGCAATCTCATCCTTTGCATACATGGGTATTATTCTACACACTGGCTATTATTCTAATGAGCCCCGCCCCCAAACCAAATTTGGTTGGTCCGGACCTAATCTAAACCAATCATAGACATCTATATTTCACAAGTTTGGACATCACAGTACAGCCCAGTAGAGTACAGGACAGTAGAGTACAGTACAATATACCGTACTATAGTGGGCTCTACTGTACTGAAATATCCTCTACTGTTGTCCAAACTTGTGAAACATAGACATCTACGATTGGTTCAGATTTGGTCCAGTCACCAATCATGGACGTTTATGTTTGGGCCAAATCAACGTCCATGGACGTTGAAATCAAGGCCAGGGCAGACTGAACATATTTCAATGTCCATGGGTGTCCGGTGACAGTCGGTGCTCAGTGGGTGCGGATGCTGGTTACAGTAAATGGAAAGAGAGGGGGCTCATTACATTTTACATTTTAGTCATTTAGCAGACGCTCTTATCCAGAGCGACTTACAGTTAGTGAGTGCATACATTTTTCATGGCTCATGGATGTCATTAAGAGCCGGAAGAGGTAACATTAACTGAGAGAGGCCTTTTCTCAATTAGATTTGCTAAACTCCCGCGTCCTCTCTCCTCCGTCCTCTCACCTCCTTTTAAAAAAGGTCAAAGGTAATCAAGGAGAGGCGGCGAGGAAAGTGAACGTAGACTTTTATGAAATGAGAAGCACCTTCTCATGTACCATCAGGCAAATGACATTTCCAGGGGTGGATCCCAAAATAAACGTGTAAAGTGATTTGTGCAAGAATTGTATAGATAAAAAGGATAAGTACAATATTGTTTTTAAATGTGTGCATTATTTTTTCCTCCAGCAATACAACATCTGATTCAAAGGGGGTGTGGCAGATATCAAAACTCTTCCGTGGTAGGATACACTTGTTCTTCCTCATCAAAAGGAGGCTATCAAGGATGGGAGGACCGTCTTCCGTTTGCCTACTAACGAACTGACACACTCCGCAACCACTTATCGGTTTCCAGGTCACGGAGGAGAGAGGACAGACTTTTGCCCAAATGAGAAAAGGCCAGAGAGAAGAGAGAGAGGCAGCGAGAGAGGGAGGTGTTGTCCAGACTGTTCACATTCTTGCTTTGACCACCCAGAAGACAGAACAAGAAAGAAAACAAGCATGAGCTGAACATAACAGTATGCCAGTGGAAGGGAGGACAGTAGTAGGTGAACCAACTGCGGTTTGTGACTACTATGATTTCGCATTGTAGCCCATTCAAATGCAGTAATTCCGTAATGGATTTCTTTGCAATTCTGTTACCGATTTGGTAACAGAATTACGAGTTTTAATCACTTAATAATTCATATACAAAAATGTAAATCAGTAAAAACACTAACTAATTGGTAGGTCTACCTTTACTTGTTACTTCTGTGAACCTTCATTATCCTCTCTCAAAAGGGTGAGAAATTAGGTAATATCTTAATATCCTAGATAATATCTTAAAGATGTGGGTTTTTGGTAATGGAATTACAAGGCACAAGGCAATGTTTCTTAAACTTACTGAAGGCAAATCATTTCTCCAAAACTAAATATAAAAGTGTTGATATTAGTTGGCAGGGGTCTTTACTTCAACATTGTGTTTTGATGTATTTCTAATACTTAAGACTTTTTATGTTAGATGTTTCCTAAGACACCTTTTCCATCTGTTTGACCAGAAATCAAAGCCACATTTTAAGATGGAAAATGGTTGGGAAATGTATTTATACCTTCATTTCCAAAAAATATAGACTTAGCTTTCATTTGACACCCAATTTGATATGCTCCTGTGAACTTCACCTGTTGGTGCTCATGGAAATGACCTATGGCAAACGACTATAGAGTGTCTCTCTAGAACACTGATCATGAGGGTAGTGTCAATCAAAGCTTAACTACAGAACAAAGACTGACATAGAACACACAGTCTGCCACATTACCTTCTTTGTTACCTTTATGCCTATACTACAAGATATGATATCAGTGCAGAAAAAAGCTCCTACTGTGTTGTCTGAATACAACGAAAAATACACTTATCAATGTAATCAAAGTTAATTTCTTACCTCTCTCTTGAAGCTGCCACTGATCGAATTATTTTAGCCCGCTGTACTTCTTTGTTACTCTCATTTGAGGAAGAACAGTTGTGGATACTGCCCTAGCAACAACATGTTTGCCTTTACTCACAGATGGCATAGGTATGCTCATTGAATTACTGACAATGTTGTTCAAGAGCCAATGAGTCTTCTTGTAGCTTGCTTGCCATACTTTTCTGGGAACAAGACTAGTTTTCTTGTATACATTTCTTATTATAGACTCAGCCATATAGTTCTTGCCTGGTAAGACTAGATGTCTTTGGTGATATAATTTTATTTATTTTACTGGATAATCTTGGACACTTTAGCTCTGTGAATTCGTAAAGCCTAGGGCAGCTCTCTGCAGCTGTGTGTTTGAATGTGTTGCTCAATGATTTTCCATCAGTCAGGGTATTTATACATAAACTTCAAACATCAATTTAGAGCCAAGCTGTCCTGGCCTTTCCTTGAACATACAGTAACATGTACGCCTTGTCCAGCCCAAGATAATGAGTCCTTGTGGGTTGAATGCTTGGCTGGCTACCGAAACTCATCACTCTGGTCAAACGCCATGCCCACAAACATTTATTCTCCGCAATGAGTCTGAATTTGAGTCCCACCTCAACATTTTCTAGAAGGCAAACACATTCTAGCCGTTTTGATTGGTTCCAGAAACGGATGGGTACAAAGCAGCGTTTTGAAAATTCGTCATTGCCTTTGATATGCTGATTAGTTAGAGACGATCCCATTGCTGATGACTTTGTTTTGTACAACACCCCCCTCTTTTGACATCAACACAAACGACTTCAATGATGGCAGTCTCTGACTGAAGTATGTAGCGAACATAAAACTGCGTAAGAATTCAGTTTGCGTCGTCAGGCAAGTAGAATGCTTAGAAAACTATCACTCTAGGAGTCTAGGCCACTGACTTCTACGATTACGTTTAAAATTTGAAATGAACTATCCACACAGGCAAAATTCTGTAAGACAAAGGCCCTAGTTTATCCTAGGCAGCCGCTAGTGCGATCTAGCGCCCACTAGCGGCTGGTTAGGCTACACTAGCTATATACCTCTAGAGAAACCCGTGACAACACATTCAAAATAATTCTCAATGTAAACTATAGCTTTACTCTACAGTGTGTAACGAGGCTACTTGTTTTTCCTTCTTCAAATAGCCTATTGCTATCCTCAACCAGTCCTAAAATGACATTAGCAGCCCTAGCCATATATTAACAAGTATTCACTCCACGAGAGGCTCGAACAGAACATACCTTCTTTCTTTAGCGTGCGCGTCTGTTGGATGAATGTATGCCAACTAAACTTGTTGCAATGGACTCATTCTTACGGCAACATTTGTTTCACCACATCCCTTCTTGTGACAAAGATACATCGGCAAAGGAAATCGTTCAATTGTAAACAGGCGTGGCAAACGGAAGAGGCTGCTGCTGCTAATCTAGCAAACCGTTCCCAGTCACAGGCCGTAGCTAACACTACCCCCTAGTGGGGCCACATCTGTAACAATTACTGTAGTTCCTTAATTTTAATTATTCTACGCATTAGTTTTTATTTTCACATTGTTCACAATATTTCATAATTTAATATCACAACTGGACTCAATACTGGTCAAGAAGGTCATATTGGTGTGCTGGTATTAGAACACTCATGTTATCTCAGTTTGTTTTTTAAAAAATCGTTAATACAGCCACAACGCATCAGACCATCGGCTACAGATGGCTCCACTGCATCTATACTGAACAAAAATATAAACGCAACATGCAACAATTTCAAAGATTTGACTGAGTTACAGTTCGTATAAGGAAATCAGTCAGGACATTGCTTACATCCGCTATGACAGGCTCATTGAAGCCTGGAAGGGATGAGAGAGCCAAGCCTTTGGTTCCTAGCTTCAAGCCTGCAGCACACACACTCACACTTACACACACCAATTGAATAATGGACTGCTGAATGTATATATTTTTTAATCTTGCTTTGTTTGCGCTTTTCCATGTTATGTCTATCTCTGATAAGCTACCCAGGAAAGGGCTGAAAATAGCCCATATTAATATATGTAGCCTTAGAAATAAGGTTCATTGAAATCAATAACTTGCTAACATCAGATAACATTCACATATTAGCCATTTCTGAGACTCACTTAGATCATTCATTTGATGATACAGAAGTAGAAATACAAGGATATAACATCTATAGAAGATATAACATCTATAGATGCTTATGGGTGAGGTGTTGCTGTATATATTCATATCCATATCCCTTTAATGCTTAGAGAAGATCTTATGTCAAGTGGTATTGAAGTGTTGTGGTTGCAGGTTCACTTGGCACATCTTTTGGGGTGTTGCTATAGGCCACCAAGTGCTAAAAGTCAGTATCTAAATAATATGTGTGAAATGCTTGATAGTGTATGTCATGTAAACAGAGAGGTCTACTTTCTTGGGGACCTGAATATTGACTGGTTTTCATCAAGCTGTCCACTCAAGAGGAAGCTTCTCACTGTAACCAGTGCCTGTAATCTGGTGCAGGTTATTAATCAACCTACCAGGGTGTTTAAAAACACTACAGGAACAAGATCATCCACATGTATCGATCACATTTTTACTAATACTGTAGAACTTTGTTCTAAAGCTGTATCCGTACCCATTGGATGCAGTGATCACAATATAGTGGCTATATCCGGGAAAGCCAAAGTTCCAAAAGCTGGGCCTAAAATAGTGTATAAGTGATCATACAAAATATTTTGCTGTGACTCTTATGTGGATGATGTTAAACATATTTGTTGGTCTGATGTGATAAAATTGCTTCTTCCAATTATTGATAAACATGCACCTGTTAAGAAACTGACTGTTAGAACTGTTTAGGCTCCATGGATTGATGAGGAATTGAAAAACTGTCTGGTTGAAAGAGATGGTGCAAAAGGAGTGGCTAATAAGTCTGGCTGCACATCTGACTGGCTGACTTACTGCAAATTGAGAAATTATGTGACTAAACTCAACAAAAAGAAGTATAAACGGTATTATGAAGCCAAGATCAATGATATAAAGAATGATGGGAAAAAACTTCAGTACTTTCAATGAAATTATAGGCAGAAAGACAAATTCAACTCCATCTTTCATCAAATCACATGGCTTATTCATCACAAAACCATTTGATGTTGCCAATTATTTTAATGATTACTTCCTTGGCAAAGTGGGCAAACTTAGGCAGGAAATGCCAACAACAGTGAGCCATCGTATTCATGCATAAAAAAAAACAAATAATGAAAGAAAAGCATTGCAAGTTAGAATTTTGCAAAGTTAGTGTGGGAGAGGTGGAAATTATTGTTATTGATCAATAATGACAAACCTCCTGGCATTGACAACTTAGCTACTGAGGATGGTAGCTGACTATAGCCACTCCTATCTGTCATATCTTTAATCTGAGCCTAGAGGAAAGTCTTTGTCCTCAGGCCTGGAGGGAAGCCAAAGTAATTCCGCCACCCAATAGTGGTAAAGCGGCCTTTACTGGTTTCTATCAGCAGACCTATCAGCTTGCTGCCAGTTCTTAGCAAACTGTTGGAAAAAATTGTGTTTGACCAAATACAATACTATTTCTCTGTTAACAAATTAACAGACTTTCAGCATGCTTAAAGAGAAGGGCACTCAATATGTACTGCACTGACACACATGACTGATGATTGGTTGAAAGAAATTGATAAGACGATTGTGGGAGCTATACTGTTAGATTTCAGTGCAGCCTTTGAAATTATTGACCATAACCTGATGTTGAAAAAACGTATGTGTTATGGCTTTTCAACCTCTGCCATATCGTGGATTCAGAGCTCTCTATCTAATAGAACTAAAAGGGTTTTCTTTAATGGAAGCTTCTCTAATGTCAAACATGTAAAGTGTGGTGTACCGCAGGGCAGCTCTCTACTCTTTTCTATTTTTACCAATGACCTGACACTGGCATTAAACAAAGCATGCGTGTCCCTGTATGCTGATGATTCAAACATATACGCATCAGCAACCACAGCTAATGAAGTCACTGAAAACCTTAACAAGGAGTTACAGTCAGTTTTGGAATGGGTGGCCAGTAATAAACTGGTCCTGAAAATCTCTAAAACTAAGAGCATTGTATTTGGTACAAATCATTGCCTAAATTCTAGAGCTCAGCTGAATCTGGTAATGAATGGTGTAGCTGTTGAACAAGTTGAGGAGACTAAATTACTTGGTGTTACCTTAGATTGTAAACTGTCATGGTCAAAACATATAGATTCAATGGTTGTAAAGATGTGGAGAGGTCTGTTTTTTGACACCACACACAAAAAAGCAAGTCCTGCAGGATTATTGTCCAGTCGTGTGGTCGAGTGCTGTAAGGAAATACCTAGTTAAGCTGCAGCTGGAACAGAACAGAGCGGCACGTATTGCTCTTCATTGTAATCAGAGGGCTAATATAAATACTATGCATGCCACTCTCTCTTCGCTAAGAGTTGAGGAGAGACTGCATCATTTCTTCTTCTTATAAGAAACATGAATGTGTTGAAAATCCCAAATTGTTTGCATAGTCACCTTACACACAGCTCTGACACACACACTTACCCCACCAGACATGCCACCAGGGGTCTTTTCAAAGTCCCCAAATCCAGAACAAATTCAAGAAAGCGTACAGTATTATATAGAGCCATTATTGCATGGAACTCTGTTCCATCTCATATTGCTCATATGAACAGCAAACCTGGTTTCAAAAAACAGATAAAGCAACACCTCACGGCATAACGCCTCTCCCCTATTTGACCTAGATAGTTTGTGTGTATGTATTGATATGTCTGCTACATGTGCCTTTTTTAAATTGATGTAGTTCTGTCCTTGAGCTGTTCTTGTCTATTAATGTTCTGTATTATGTCATGTTTCATGTTTTGTGTGGACCCCAGGAAGAGTAGCTGCTGCTTTTGCAACAGCTAATGGGGATCCTAATAAAATACCCAACATTTCAATAAATTCATTAGGCCCTAACTGGGAATACAGATATGCACCTGTTGGTCACAGATACCTTTTAAAAAGGGTAGGGGCTTGGATCAGAAAACCAGTCAGTATCTGGTGTGACCACCATTTGCCTCATGCAGCGCAACACATCTCCTTCGCATAGAGTTGATCAGGCTGTTGATTGTGGCCTGTGGAATGTTGTCCCACTCCTCTTCAATGGCTGTGCGAAGTTGCTGGATATTGGGAACTGGAACACGCTGTGTACCCGTCGATCCAGAGCATCTCAAACATGCTCAATGGGTGACATGTCTGGTGAGTATGCAGGCCATCTTCAGCTTCCAGGAATTATCCTTGCGACATGGGTTCCATGCATTACCATGCTGAAACGTGAGGTGATGGCAGCAGATGAATGGCACAACAATGTGCCTCAGGATCTCATCACGGCATCACTGTGCATTCAAATTGCTATTAATAAAATGCAATTGTGTTCGTTGGCCGTAGCTTATGCCTGCCCATACCATAACCCCACCGCCATCATGGGACACTTTGTTCACAACGTTGATATCAGCAAACCGGTCGCCCACACAACGCCATAAACGTGGTCTGTGGTTTGAGGCCGTTTGGACGTACTGCCAAATTCTCTAAAACGACGTTGAAGGCAGCTTATGGTAGAGAAATGAACATTCAATTATCTGGCAACAGCTCTGGTGGACATTCCTGCAGTCCGCAATTGCACGCTCCCTCAAAACTTGAGACATCTGTGGCATTGTGTTGTGTGACAAAACTGCACATTTTAGAGTAGTCTTTTATTGTCCCCAGCACAAGGTGCACCTATGTGATGATCATGCTGTTTAATCAGCTTCTTGATATGCCACACCTGTTAGGTGGATGGATTATCTTGGCAAAGGAGAAATGCTCACTAACAGGGATGTAAACAAATTAGAGCACAACATTTTAGAGAAATAAGCTTTTTGTTCATATGGACAATTTCTGGGATTTTTTATTTCAGCTCATGAAACCAACTCTTTACATGTTGCGTTTATATTTTTGTTCAGTGTATGTTACAGGATGTCCCAGACAAAGACGTAGAAGAACCGGTTAGGTCAGGATGTCAGGTTTCTGCCTGTTGAGTATTGGTGAGCAGGAGTGGTTCTGTACAGTACGCATAGAATCAAATCGATAAACAACCGAGAGCCAGGTATGACAAAGGGAGTGGAGTGACGTGATATGGGCTAATGTAGGAATACTGACGATCAGAGAGGCATCAGGCATTGTAGATGACTCTCCTCAATATCGTGAGCGTGCACCAAAAAGTAAAAACATGCCACAGTATTCTCCAGAAACGTTTTATTTTATTTACTCACAACATTCAAATCTCTGTACAGGAAGCAATAACCTTGCATGACAATCATTCACTACGTCATCATCATCCATTTCAACAAAGGAACACAATATCAGTGTGAAAAGTGAGTATTGCACCATAACAAGTAAGAGACTCCATGTGTATGAATTTAAAAAACAATCATTATCAGATTGTGTCGTTCATGGGGAAATAGTCCAGCCTGATTCAGTATGGTGGACCATTCCTGATTTCTTACACAACAGTCCTTAGATATAGATACATAAGTTATAGCTAAGGTATGTCCACATCGCATGTGTAATATACCAGATATGGAAACTAGAAGTCGACACAGCGGCCCTTTCTCTCCCAGTCCCCGTAGCGCGTGGGCTCTGGGCCCCGGGGACCCCCCTGCTCCTTTGTGGCTGGGTTCACATCATCAGGGAACTCTGGAAAATCAATGGGGAATAATTACAGTGTGAAAGGCAATGGAGCATCCTAGAAGGTATCTGCAACATTTAGCTTATAGTTTGTCCTACTTTCAAGGGGATCCTTAGTCTTCTCATCATTCATGTCGAAGCGGCCCTGGGGGGTTTTGGCCTTGCGCAGTGGCTCCTTGTCTTTCACTGCTCCACTGGCTGTCCGCAAGTATCCTTTACACAAGAGAGACATCACATCTGATGCATTAGGTCTTTCCACCTCAAAAAGGATTGACACCCACCATCTCAGGATTGTTCTGAAATCGTTTATGTAGTTAGTAACAGATACGATTAGGATTCCTAAAACATTATTTTGATGACATAACTTGATCTCTGAGAAATTAAACTAATTGATTACACTCAAATTGCCTATTTTAATGTATACGATTCAGATGTTCAATAAATATAGTACCCAATATCCGATTTGCACCAAACTTCTTCCAAACAATGAGTAGGACATGAGGAATCCCAAATAAATTGTCAAAAGCCAACCACGGACCTCCCACACCAACAACCAGTATACAGTATCAGTTCTATGTTTGACAAAAAAATATAAACCCAACATGTAAATTTTCCAGATGCATAAAAAGCTTATCGCTCAAATGTTGTGCACAAATGTGTTTACATACTTGTTAGTGAGCATTTCTCCTTTGCCAAGATAATCCATCCACCTGACAGGTGTGGCATATCAAGAAGCTGATTACACAGCATGATCATTACACAGGTGCACCTTGTGCTGGGGACAATAAATGGCTACTCTAAAATGTGCAGTTTTGTCACAACACAATGCCACAGATGTCTCAAGTTGAGGGAGCGTGCAATTAACATGCTGACTGCAGGAATGTCCACCAGAGCTGTTGCTGACAGAGAATTGAATGTTCATTTCTCTACCATAAGCCACCTCCAACATTGTTTTAGAGAATTTTGCAGTACGTCCAACCGGCCTCACAACTGCAGACCACGTACGTGTATGACGTCATGTGGACGAGCGGTTTGCTGATGTGAACAGAGTGCCCCATGGTGGCGGTGGGGTTATGGTATGGGCAAGCATAAACTACGGCCAAAGAGCACAATTGGATTTTACCAATGGCAATTTCAGTGCACAGAGATACCGTGACGAGATCCTGAGGCCCATTGTCGTGCCATTCATCCGCCGCCATCATCTCATGTTTCAGCATGATAATGCACGGCCCCATGTCGCAAGGATCTGTACACAATTCCTGGAAGCTGAAAATGTCCCAATTCTTCCATGTCCTGCATACTCACCAGACATGTCACCCATTGAGCATGTTTGGGATGCTCTGGATCGACAGCGTGTTCCAGTTTCCACCAATATCCAGCAACTTCACACAGCCATTGAACAGGAGTGGGACAACATTCCACAGGCCACAATCAACTCTATGCGAAAGAGATGTGTCACGCTGCATGTGGCAAATGGTGGTCACACCAGATACTGACTGGTTTTCTGATCCACGCCCCTACCTTTTTTTAAAAGGTGTCTGGGGTTGAATGGATGCATATCTGTATTCCCAGTCCTGTGAAATCCATAGATTAGGGCCTAATGAATTTATTTTAATTGACTGATTTCCTTATATGAACTGTAACTCAGTAAGATCTTGGAAATTGTTGCATGTTGTGTTTATATTTTTGTTCAGTATAGTATGAAGCTGTGGTTTGAGTATTGCTTCTCCATACTATGAATGTATTCCCAGTGAATCTGGTGATGTTTTTTTCCCCCTGTTTAGAGAAATTATTCATTGATGTCACTTGCATTATTTACCTTAAAGTACTGATACTATATACTAGTTGTTGGGGTGGGATTGGTATGGGATGTGGTGGGGTCAGTGGGTTGCTTTTGACAATTTTGGATTCCTCATGTCTTACTCATTAGTAGGAAGAAGTTTGGTCCAAATAAGATGTTGGGTACTATATTTATTGAATATGATCTGAATCCTATAAATTCAAATGGCCAATTTGGGTGCAATCAATTACCTTAATTTCTCCAAGATTAAATTAAAGTTCAACAAAATAATGTTTCAGGAATGCCAATCGTATCTGTTTCTATTTGCAGAAACAATCTCAGAACAATCTGAGTTGGTGGGTGTCATTGCTTGCTGAAATTACATTGAAAGACTATTAAGATTCATTTGTGTTGATATTTTGACATATCAACAAGAAATTATTGTTTAACAGGTAACTTGAGAAGGGTATCAATATGTTGGTGTAGACTTTGTAAACAAATTATGTATATGTGACAGTGTAGGAACCATAGTTTTGGTCCATGTTTCCCAGGGTACCCTTTTTTATTTATGTATTTATTAGCAATAATAACACAACAACACATTTCAACACAGGGATAATCCAGGGTACATCATAAAATAAAATAATAAAACACCAGTTGAAGAGAAATACAAAAAAATATATATATACTACCAGACACAGTTTGATTTAACAAGGCATAATTGGGGGATTAATGTGCTCGTAGGAAGCTGAACAGTAGTACATCCGACATTATCATGTTCAAATCCTCTCAGAATGTCCCACTCCCAGGGGACCCTAATTAGTGGGGAACATGTAAAGTGTATAAAAGTACCCCTTAGACCTGTTCAGGTGGGAGCGTTGCCTGAAGGTGTGTAGGTTTGAGAATCATACTGAATGTTTACAGTGTGGTCTAATTTGTTCAGAAAGTATGTGTTGAGTTTATCTCTATCAGTGTTTAGGTTTGGCAATATTCAAAATGTTAATTTTTTAAAAGATGCACTCTCAAACTATTGTATAATTTCAGCCAGTTTTTTTAAACACATTTTGCAATTTGATTGATGTGTTGCAAATCTAATTTGTGCTATATGTTACGAATTTGTTGAACTTAAAGATCCCGGAGTGCATCTTTAAGTTATGCCACTGCAGTAGCTAGCGATTGCCTAACCTATTCATAGACGCTAGGTTAGCGCCCATTGACGATAGTATATTCTGGCCGACGCGACGCTCATTCTGTACTTTAAAACGCATCGCTTGCGGTACGGTTTTGGAAACATATGGAACACATCTTTCATATCAGCTAGAAATGATTATTTTTCAAATATAAGGTTCAGTTACTACACACCTTTATTGGGTTAGGGTGCCCACACTGCTATATTTCCATGTTACAGCGCTTGTTTACGGAAGATAGATGTGTCCCTATGTTAATTAGCTATCTGCGTCTCTTAACACCTGTGTGTAAACAGAAGATGGACACCACACACACGTTGAACTTGTCACTGAAAAATACTGTAGGCTGCAACTGTGTTAAAACAGTGTTTTGTATGTGTATATTTAGCATTTGTGAAATTATGTTTGTGATATGAAAGTAGAGGGCTTTATGTTTCGAGAACAGTTCCGCAATTGAGAATCGATTCACGTTTAGATGGAGTATTTGGCTGTCAGAGCCAATTCGCCTCTAAACAGTAAACGTAAGGTCCTTAGACTATAAGGGAGTAACGTCAGGCTCCGTTAGTCCATTATTGGACTAGCTAATGCCCTAATTTCCCACCTGAAAATGCAACGGAATGAATTTGCTTACATTATTTAGGGTTAGGCACATTAGCCTACCTCCCGCTCATCCTTGAGTACATTTACATAGCTTTACCTCAACTGTCACCACAAGTATCCCTGAGTGATATTGGTATTGACCTTGTGCGTATTTCTTTCATTCTCATGTGTACTTTTCTTATTTCTCGTGTGTATTCACTGCAATGTTGAGGAACAGCTTGCAAGTAAGCATTTCCCTGTACTGTTTACACCTGCTGTATTGTGTGCACGTGACAAATAAACGTTGATTTGATGTTGTTTACCTTGCTAACGGTAACTAGCCAGCATGCGCACGCTAAGCCTTGAGAAGCAACACTCTTCTTCGAGTTAAGACACGCACCTGTAAAAGCAGATTCCACGAATAACGCATGGGTTACAAGACGTTTCGATGCAGAAGCACAGACGCTTAGTAGAGACATGTTGATTGCCGTTAGATACACTGGCTGGTTTAGAAAGATGGTCAAACAGTAACTTACAAAACGTTCTGGTGTTTTGGCAAGCTTTAATGACGTATGAACGTCATCATCTTGCGACAAAATGTACCTTGTAGTAACTATGTATGGTCACCAGGGCGAGCCAAAGTACAAGGTGTGGGTCAATCAGATGCAGCCTAGTAGCCTACACAACACAAACTACCACCACCGGTATGTCCCTGTGTAAATGCCTTCATCATCATGTCTTCTGGATGCAGAACGTGAGATAACATCATCATGGAGGGATGGTTATGAATGTCTGTGGGAAAGTTCATGGGTCTATCCGGGCGGCAGGTAGCTTAGTGTTTAAGAGCGTTGTGCCTGTAACCGAAAGGTCGCTGGTTCTAATCCCCGAGCCGACTAGGTGAAAAGTCTGTCGATGTGCCCTTGAGCGAGGCACTTAACCCTAATTACTCCTGTAAGTCGCTCTGGATAAGAGCGTCTGCTAAACGACTAAAATGTCAATGTATCCTTCTTCTCAAAAAGTGTATGCATGTGTGAAAAAGTGTATTTTGATTAGCATGACCATTTGTGACATGCACAGGTTGAAAGAACAAAACAAATTGTCCAAAAATATATTTATCGTGGGTTCATCTCAGTCTCCCTTTCCTTGGATCATTTATCACAAACAAACGGTGAAGTGTGAAAGAAGTATGGTATAACCTAATCAATCCACGATTAGTGTTCCTATAGGAGGAGATGAGAAAATAGAGCCTTGTTAAAAATTGGGATACAGCAGCTTTGGTATCCTTTTATTGACATTATGTTGTCTCATCCTATATGTTAAACAAGGGAACTAATGGGTTAGAAGAGCCAAATATTTATCAAATACAAAATCATGAATCATTTAATACGAATTTGTAACATACAAGTTGCCATATTCTGTTCAAGAAAATGATTAAACAATGATTGCAGGATAAAGTCTGCAATAGAAAATTTATTTAGCATGCTGTTCGAAATGAAAAAGAACCTTGCTCCATTAATTCATTTCAAATTCAGAGACATAGGCTTCACAATGCTTAATGGCTTTATGGCTTTGAATGGTACAGTGATTCATCTGTGTCTAAAGCCAAGAAGAAATTATACTGTAGCTAATTTGACTCATACAATCATATTCATAGATCAATAGGATTCATTGCAAATTAATTGTAGCAATGAAGGACATGACACATATCGGTTTATTGATAATTATGTTTCAACTTCTTATTGATGATGTTAAGAATATACTGCTTTATTTCCCTGGTGGTGAATGAAAAATACATGGGCTTCTGTGACTCACTGTGGCAGAGTTATACATTACTGTGCTATAAACAGGATACTAAGCTGTAAGTCCGGGTTAATGCTCATTGGGAGTTTGTGTAGTGATGAATGCATTGCAACATTACAGATCATAAGGAAGCAAAGCGCAGTGAGATCAAACGTAGGACATGTTTGTGGAAATGTCCATATCTTATACGGGTGTGGAATATTAGCAGTAACACAAGAACTGAACAATATATGTGGCTGTGTCAAGATATACGAATGTTGTTAGATTGTGGAGTTGCAAGTGAATTGTGGCAGACAAAACAAACAGTAAACTCTCACTTGGTAGAAATGCAATAATAAATTACTTCAGTAATGAAATGCATGCAGGAACTGTATTTGATGACATAAAACAAGCCTAAATAATTGTAATTTAATTAAACAATAAATAAAGAATACTGATCAAACTAAAACTGAAAAGACTGAGGACAACGAAAGAAATGGAAGGTGTTTTGCTTGCTTACATGTCAAGCCCTCAATCTAATCTGCCGCTCACTGCACCATTTTCCAGCCATTTTTACCACCTTTTTTCCCTTTAGGGCTTTGAAAAAACTGAAAGCCATCATGCCTGCTCGGTTTAGGAATTTCAGGAGTTTAGGGAAAGCCACTTAAGTGACGCTGCAGTGCTGATATTTCCAAGTAGATGATGAAATTCTACCCTACATTCCCTTTTGACCATGGGGAGAGGCCCTGGACTAACTCACACACACACTGTCCTACAGCTGGATACGATCAGCACACACACACACACACACACACTTTATAGTTGCAATAAGTGTTACACTAACACACAAAATACACAGCTGCATACTCGAAAATGTAGACTCACATTCATCATGATCATGCAACCAGTATCAATCACTTGCTGGAAACCCATTATAAAGGTCTGGTATAGACTAATGGAGGGCAGGTATATCAGGGATGGTTCATATAGTCAAAGAGGGCTCTGGCCATCAGTTGTCCCATACACAGCAATGTAGTTCACTCCATGCACTCCATGATGGATGATCATTGGTTTAAAACAAGATATGACAAATACACAAAGTACAACACTGCTGTATTAATTCTTTAAAAAATATTTCATATGGCCTTATAATTCTAGCCTGTATACGTATAAATGGATCGACATAACTGAAATGATTAGAGGATTATAAAGTACAAGAAAATTGAACAAATAACACCTTATTTTACAGTCATAATTCAGCTGTTTACCTGGTATTTATTTAGAAATTATATTATGTAGTAACAATGGATAGGCTACTTAACGAAAAAACTATACATTTACACTTTAACAAATTCAAGGCAATATTAATATTGCTACCATTGTGCTTGTTTGAAAGACAAAGACAACAAATAATATTGGATAATTATCAAGCAACAGTATAACCTTATTTCTGCAAATACCAGGTAAATAGCAGAGTGCAATAAAGCATAATCCAAATTAGTAAGTGCTTGTGTAAGGTGGTAAGAGGTAAAATATCATTATTAATATATAACAGAGAAACTTGATGAGGTGGTACATTTTCACCTATTGTCACTGATTCTTCCCTGCACAGAAATAAAGGGGTTGCCTAACTGCTAAAAGCAATTTATAACCATCGCTATCAATGTAAACAGTTATTGATAACATCACTGTTATGAGACACAGGTAGGCTAGTGAATCTATACCACTAAATTTATATTTTTGAAACCGATACAGTTTTATTGAATTAGGCCTATTCCTCAAATGACCAGGTATGAATGAATATGTAAACGTTTTCCTGTAGGAGAAAAGTGCTAAAAGAAGCGCTCACTTATTTGAATCAATCTAGCTATAGTATTAGTTCATAATTAGAACTGGATTATGTTTTATTAAAAAATGAAAATAAAAAAACTGCAAAAAATGTTATCACCTAAAAACATTTACCAGACGCTCTTATCCAGAGCGACTAGGGTTAAGTGCCTTGCTCAAGGGCACATCGACTGATTTTTCACCTAGTTGGATCGGGGATTAGAACCAGCGACCTTTCGGTTACTGGCAGAACGCTCTTAACCACTAAGCTACCTCAAACAGGCAGATAAAATGCAATATTGCACAGTCCTCAAAAAGCATGTTGCTAATGGACTAGTGCATGGCTGCAGGAAGATGTTTCGGTGTGGGGGTGCTGAGAGCTTTTTATTATCCCCGCACTAATGACTATTCTTCTCCACTCTACAGGAGTCATTAAGGACCAGTGTACTAATTTGGTGATTTTATATATATTGGTGATTTGGTGATTTTATATATATACATATATATGTATGTATGTTTATGTATGTGTTTTTTAAATTCTGATTTATCAGGGGGTGCTGCAGCACCCTCAGCACCCCTATTTCCGGTGGCTATGAGCTCGTGTCCTGCCTTGTTCACTCATGCTTTCAACCTAAACCGTTTTTGAGGCAGTCAGATTAATCCAGGTCCACTTGAGTCATATTTTTCAAGTTCATGATCTTAAAAAGTTGTTCGCTATGACTCCAATCACTTTCAAAAAGAAGAGAAAAGAAAAGTGGTCAGAGTTTGTTATTCGCAGGCGGACACGCTGCTGATTTTGGCGGTGTTCTCAGTCCATGGCTGGAGGTTCTGAAGCGCGAACAGGGAGCTGTTATGCAAGCAAAGCGGGTCCGGGTTTGCCGGTTGGTTTATTGTTTTCTGAAAAGCCTCCTGTTGGAGTTGCATGAGGATCCGGTTGGCCTGCTGTCGCTCTGCTTCTCTCTCTTCAGCTGTCTGCCGCCTGGAACACCCGAGACACAAGAGAGACACCGAGGCATCAGTGGGAAATTCTATCCATAACAGTCTGCGTCATTATAGATCATAACAGGCCTATGTACATCAAATTTTGACACAAAGTGAATGTCTTCTGGATTAATTTAAACACGTTTAAATCAAGTATGATTATAGATTATAACAAATTGCTAGACAATTTTTGCCTAATGTAGGCTAAATTGCTTACCTAAACATCATTAACCAATAGGCGAAAAGCTGATATCCAAATGCAAATTTCCCACAAATAGTATGACATTTTTCACAGCCAACAATAGCCTATGTGAAAATAAATAAAGTTTTGCCAATTAATTTGTCTTCCTCTGATGTGGCAGAAATGTTTCCTTAGATTGTTCTGTTATGTTCTCACATTGACTTCATACTTACACTTAGGCCTATATACATAATATTTATATTCGTTGATTGTTTTGTTGTTTTTTTATTTTCTAAAATCCAATCTCCAGAGATGTATTTAACTGCTTCAGTAGATAGGCCAAGGAAAATAACTTATATCTCAATGCGTAAAAGATGTGGCCAAATAGGCCTTCCACTTTTATGCACGGTATGTTTCATCTGAAAATAGCTTTAAAGACCTTTTAAAACACTATTTTTGTCTGAAATGACATTATTTCCAAAGATTAAAACACATTTTAACTTTAACAAGAGTGGACATATAAGGGAAAACATTATCCTCCTTTTGTGGGATAGGATATAGTAAGTTGCCACAGAATTTTACTTTAATTTTAAACCACTCATTATAAGAATCACTGTAATTTCCTTGACTGTTGCAAGACAATATTCATTCATGAATTGCAAAGGTTTGCAATCGAAAACTTCAATAAAAAAATAAAATTGACGACCTGTAAAATGTTCATAGAAACGGGGCGATTGGATTTTTTTATATAGTTTTATCAAATGCACACCATTATTTTATCCCCTATTCAAGACCGAGTATGTCCAAATGAATTTGTGGCATATAATAGGCCTAGATATAGTTAATATTTGTAAAATATCACTCTAACCTGTATTGCTATTTTTGGTGGGTTTACATAGCCTTCTTGGAGCGTAAATAAATAGCCCATGCTATACATAAAAGCATCAACTTAGCTAAAACACACACACAAACAAATCATGACATTCCGCGCTGGAGAGGACACCTTATACCTGAAATGTAGGCTACACATTATCATCAGTAATCTCACCTCCATTTTGTTCTTCTGTTCTGGAACCATGTTTTGACTTGCGCGTCAGTCATCTTGAGGGCCTTGGCCAAAGCCGCTCTCTCTGCGGAAGCCAGGTACTTCTGTCGGTGAAAGCGTTTCTCCAGCTCGCAGATCTGCAGGCGAGTAAAAGACGTCCGGGGCTTTTTCTTCTTGGGGGGCGTCCGGTTCTGGTACGGGTGACCTACACGGCGTGTTACAGTGAGGGGTGAGAGCGCCACTGGATTGGGAGACGGATAGATAGGGGCGAAAGCAAGCAGCAAAATCAGCTAAATAGCAGCAACAGAGCAGCGAAGCAAGTTCAAGCAACGTCAGACAGAGAGGGGAGATAGGCTATAGCTCGCAGGGAAAATTACAGGTGGGGGGGGCTACATTTAGACTATTTCGATAACATGCAGATGTGTTAGGCTATATTTTGATTATCTATAACTCAATGTTTATTGTAGGTGATTCTTGTGAGATATATAGACTAGTAAAATAAGTAAAAGCCATTGGTGTTTATCAAGTAAAATTGTATAATGAAATTACACAGCGTGTTAAGCAGAAGCCGTAGTAGACAGCAGTAGACTGATTTATTATCGATTATTTTCAGAGCTGAGTGCATCAGAAAACAAGAACTAGGCCTAAGTGCATTCAATGGCCCTTTCCATCAGAAACAAATTGCATGATCGTGATTTTCTCATGACAAGCATGGCATAACCATGCATATTGCTCTTTTCATTCTCAACACACACACACACACACACACACACACATTTTATGTGCATTATAGAGGTGGTTTACCTGTGAACCTGTCTTTGGTGTATCTTCTGTTACTCTCCATCCAGGGGAATGTAAATCCCGTCAGGTTGTTAATCGAGCCTGGCATAGTTGACATGCCGCCGGGGATGGACGAGTGTCCACTGTTCAGAGGCCGGTGCGCTGGCACACGGATGACTCCAGCTGCGTTAACGTTATTCCCACTGACGTTCATTCCCATGTTCGTGTTATAGGTGCCGCTCAGATTGGCGACCCCACATTCGTTGCCGTTATATCCAGAGTTGTTGCCGGTGAAGGTACCGGTCATGGTGTTGTAGGCAGTGCTGAAGACGCAGCCGAGGCCATAGTCCGGCTCGGGCATCCGACCGCCGAGCATGCAGCTCTGGTCCACATTGTTGAGGATTTGGTCGATCCCAAAGCTGATGGGCTCCGCGTGAATGTGCTGGAGATGCGCTCCAATATGATCCATGGCCCCTGCGAGCCCCCCGCGAGGTACAGAGGTGCTCCACGCCGCGCCTTATCGTGGATCTTTAAAAAGGTCTTCAGCTCTCGCTCCAGTCGTTATCTAATATGTGTGTGTGTGTGGGTGTGTGTGCGTGTGTGTGTTTGTGAGAGTGTAAGTGTGTGAGAGTGAGGCTATACCAAAAGCGATTGTCTGTTTTTTTCTTCTTCCCTTTTGGCTCAGGCAGCCTTGCGGACTGGAGTGCAGCATCAATCAAAGTGCCAAATAGGCAGCACGAGATTAAGCCCCATTTTTAGGCCTCGAGACTCAATTGACTGAAGACACTACCGCGAGTTCATTCAGTGGAAGCTGAGCGCAGGACCGCCTGATCCTCCGGACTCGTGGCAAACATCATAAACACCAGGCGGAGTCTTGTGAAAGTAGGCAATGTTTATATTCTGTATCCTATTAATTTCACCCCATGGCACATTTTTAGAACATCAATTACAAAAACTGTTTTACATAACACACAATAACCTAACGTCAATAGGTGCGTGGTCAGCTCCGTGGAAGCAGTGGAAGTGTTTTAAAATGGCCAAACAAATTTGGAGGAGAGTGTCTTCTTCTAGAGCTCCGTTCATTCCATTCATCATAGGCCTCTGTGTTCAGCTTATTTCAGGTAGGCCTAATCAAATGTCTCCATTTGACAGTGCTTCTTGGAACTGGAGAAAAATCTACATCCATGCTCAAGCAAATTATCTTTATCAAAGTGGATTTACAGTGCCTTCAGAAAGTATTCATACCCCTTGACTTTTTTCATATTTGTTGTGTTACAAGGTGGGATTAAAATGGATTTCATTGTCATTTTTGGTCAACAATCTACACAGAAATACTCTGTCGTGTCAAAGTGGAAGAAACATTTGTAAAAAATGTATGTATCTTGTTTAGATAGCCTAAGTATTCAACCCCCTGAATCAATACATGTTAAAATCACCTTTAGCAGCGATTACAGCTGTGAGTCTTTCTGGATAAGTCTCTAAGAGCTTTGCACACCTGGATTGTACAATATTTGCACATTATTGTTTTTAAAATTCTTCAAGCTCTGTCATGTTGGTTATTAATCATTGCTAGACAGCCATTTTCAAGTCTTGCCATAGATTTTCAAGCCTATTTAAGTCAAAACTGTAACTAGGCCACTCAGGAACATTTAATGTTGTCTTCGTAAGCAACTCCAGTGTATATTTGGCTTTGTGTTTTACATTATTGTCCTGCTGAAAGGTGAATTTGTCTCCCAGTGTCTGTTGGAAAGCAGACTGAACCCGGTTTTCCTCTGCCTGTGCTTAGCTCTGTTACGTTTTTTAATCCTAAAAAACTCCCTAGTCCTTGCTGATGACAAGCATACCCATGACATGAAGCAGCCACCACCATGCTTAAAAATATGAAGAATGGTACTCAGTGATGTGTTGTGTTAGAGTTGTCCCAAACATAAGGCTTTGTATTCAGGACATCAAGTTCATTTCTTTGGCAAATGTTTTGCAGTTATACTGTTTTAAAGCCATAATTGCCGTCATGGTGAAATCCCTGAGCGGTTTCCTTCCTATATTTATATATATATTTATATATTATTATATTTATGTCATTTAGCAGACGCTCTTATCCAGAGCGACTTACAGTTAGTGAGTGCATACATTTTTCATACTGGCCCCCCGTGGGAATCGAACCCACAACCCTAGCGTTGCAAGCGCCATGCTCTACCAACTGAGCTACGGGAGCAAGCAACTGAGTTAGGAAGGACGCCTGTATCTTTGTGGTGACTGGGTGTATTGATACACCATCCAGTGTAATTAATAACTTCACCATGCTCAAAGGGATATTCAATGTCTGCTTTTTTTAAACCAATTTATAGGTTCCCTTCTTTGCGAGGCATTGGAAAACCTCCCTGGTCTTTGTGGTTGTATCCGTGTTTAAAATGCACTGCTCGACTGAGAGGCCTTACAGGTAATTGTATGTGTGGGGTACAGAGATTATGTAGTCATTCAAAAATCATGTTAAACACTTTTATTGCACACAGAGTGAGTCAATGCAACGTATTATGTGATTTGTTAAGCACATTTTTACTCCTGAACTTATTTAGGCTTTCTATAACAAAGGGGTTGAATAGTTATTAACTCAAGACAATTCAGCTTTTAAATTAATTAGTTTAAAAAAAAATGTTTAAATCCACTTTGACATTATGGGGTATTGTGTGTAGTAGGCCAGTGACACAACATCTCAATTTAATCCATTTTAAATTCAGGCTGTAACACAACAAAATGTGGAAAAAGTCAAGGGGTGTGAATACTTTCTGAAGGCACTGTAAGTGAAACACCCCAAACTTCGATTTTATGCACAATAAAACTCCATTGGTTATAATTGATTTAAACATATTTGGAACAAATATGTTGGGGAAAAAACATAAACAAATAGCTAACTTTGTCTTGACACAAAAAAAGTAAATCGATTAATACTAAACCCTTGGATAACTGCATATCATAATGAATGATTAATCGACCTGCAATGTGCTCATCTTTTAACATATAAAGCATATTACTGATAGCCCTATAGGTCCATGCGTAATTCCAATTTAATTGTGGGCTCATTTACATTTTACATGTTAGTCATTTAGCAGACGCTCTTATCCAGAGCGACTTACAGTTATTGAGTGCATACATTTTTTTTTCATCTCTCGATTGTACATTTCTTAGTAGCCTAGCCTATTATGTAATTAAAATCCAAAAGTTCCAAGCAGATCCGTGCCCTATACAGCCGGTCCTGTGAGGGGGAGTTTATTAGGCTTTCAAAAAAGTGAGATCAAATAGACCAATTAATGATAAGCATAGCACGTGCACAACTCCTATAATGATCGCCTTAATCGAAATAGGCTCGATATTAAATATCCCACGACATTATTTATTTAGGCCTATTTCGTATAGAGACATCACTACAAAACGAATGTTTTTTTATTAGCCATTGACTGGGTGTGCATGTGTCAAGACTTTATTTTCAGAAATATTCAAGCTATGGACACACGCATGTAGGCCTATCAAATATTTCGTGAAATTAAATTAAATGAAAATAGTATAAACCATTGGACTACAAACTCGGTATTTTTAATGCAACCTATTTATCCATTGTCTTATTCATTCCAGGCTAATGGACGTCATTAATGATCAATGCCTTTGTATTATGTAGGCTATACATTTACGTCATTTAGCAGACGCTCTTATCCAGAGCGACTTACAGTTAGTGAATACATATATTTTTATACTGGCCCCCCGTGGGAAACGAACCCACAACCCTGGCGTTGCAAACGCCATGCTCTATCAACTGAGCTACATCCCTGCCGGCCATTCCCTCCCCTACCCTGGACGACGCTGGGCCAATTGTGCGCCGCCCATGAGTCTCCCAGTCGCGGCCGGCTGCGACAAAGCCTGGATTCGAACCAGGATCTCTAGTGGCACAGTTTGCACTGCGATGCAGTGCCTTAGACCACTGCGCCACTCAGGAGTTATACAATAACATTCAAGTTAAAATTAATAAATATTGGCTACCTGTAGCATATCTAAATAAAAGCTAAATAAATTATCAAAGGCCGTTTTTTAATGCGTTATTCATCTATACACCCAATTAATTTAATAATTTCAACAGACAAAAATGCTAACTTCAAAACAATTCAATGAAAATGAAACCATATGGGTCATAGATTTTCTCTACTCTCGAAATCTTCAGGGATGTGATTATTTAAAAGAGATAATTAAAGTATTAATATTTGATATGGGTTTCCAGATTCTCACTGGCCACTTGACGGACATTAAAGTGTAATAGCTCGCGGTGCTCCCACTTGTGTGGTATAGGCCACCAACCAACCCGTTAAAATCTGGATTAATAACGTCCGTTGAAGACTACTAATGCAGTCACCGAGGACTGCAAGCTTTTTTTGTGATATTTATAAATATATATTTCATTTCTGGTAACACAGACAAGAGAGAACATGGACGACAAAATTCACAATATGAAACACCCACCCATCCCCAACCCTCCACCCACACAGGACCCCGTTTCTCTTAATTTTTCAATAACTCTTTAGCACCATGCATACGTGACACAGAAAGCTCCATGTTAGCGATGCGGATAAATGAAAGCGCCCATTGACCCCATGGCAGAGAATGAGGCTCTTACCAACGTAACGCAACCATCTTTTTGGCTGCAGTAAGCTCTGCAGGCCATATGTGTTTTTCGCGAACAGTAAGGTCCATGGAAGAATCGTAATTGAGAAGTGTAGTTGGTCAAAAGGCAATATCTTTTAGCATCAATGGTCGATGAAGACATAGAAACCTGATTCCAGAATGAGGAGACCTCTGGGCATTCCCAAACCATATGCAAAAATGTGCCTTGGGCACCATGGAGGCAGAGCAAACAATTTGAACTGGGAATTATTTTCATTAAATATTTTAGAGAGTGTGGAGCATAGCCGATATATGAAATTTAAATGGGTCATTTGATAATTGGGATTGTTTTCAATTAAAATGGTCAAAAATAAACAAAAAGAGCTACTTAGCAAAGAGCAATTTCTCAAGCAATAATTTTGCTAGGACTGTCTGGGAGTGGTCTGTGGGGAGGGGAAACTGAAAACTAGCTGTTATTGGCAGAGAGGTAAGGAACTCTCTTTCTTATTGGTCTATTAACCAATTTACCACATGGTGATGTCACCAGGCAGGCCAAAACTCCATCCCACCACAACAGGCTGAAATTTCAGGTGGTCTTTTCAAACAGCTCTTACACTAAAATGGCATTTTCATAATTTCACAGTTTCACAGTATTATTCTAACTTTATGTGTGGAAATATAGAAAAAACATATTATTATTATTATTATTATTATTATTATTATTATCTCTTAAAGGCCCAGTGCAATCAAAAACGTGATTTTTCTAACAATGTATTACATTTGTAAAGCGCTTTTCATTATACAATAATAATCTCAAACTGA